TATATATGCCTGAGTGGGTTTTTTGTTTGTTTCTTAAAAAGCTAAAGTGGATAGAGAGAATACTGTTAACTGATGGTACATGGAGGGGAGTAAAATCATTGTAATGAAACAAGGTATATGATTTGTTGAATGTAAAACTGATGATAGGTCTTGTAAACTTTCACTCAATCTACAATAAAAACCTTAAAAAACAAAAAACAACTGTCACCCAAGCCCTCTCACCTAACTGTAAGGTGAGAGCTGTCTGGAACATCGCTATATATCCACTGTCATCTCAGGCTCCATGCTCCCAGGGCTGGGAGGAGACTGTTAACCTGGACCCCCGCACGAGGTCCCTCTGATGAAGTTCTGTGTGTTGTGCTCACAGGTGACTGCTGGCTGCTGGCTGCCATCGCCTCCCTCACGTTGAATGAAGAAGTCCTGGCCCGAGTTGTTCCCTTAGACCAGAGTTTCCAAGAGAACTACGCGGGCATCTTCCACTTCCAGGTAACTTAGTGGTTGGCTCAAGTGTCTGCTCTATAGGCCCTGGCTAGGCAGAGGAACAGGGGCCCTAGTTGGGCTGAGTCCCTTGGTCTCCAGTGTTGACAGTCCTCTAGGACCAGTGCTGTTCTACTGAGGACGTTGAGAGAGAGAAGGAAGCTCACTACCTACCTCTGGGATGGGACCCTAAAAGGATGACAATGGGGAGAGCCTCTTTGGTCAAGTAGGAGGTAAGAGCAACCAACATGCTCAGAAAGTTATACCCAAGTATCATAAGTTTATTATTTGAGGTCTGAGATGGAATGTTCAGGTATTTCTCACTCTCCTCCCTTCATCCTTATAATATAAGAAATAATATTTTAAGATCCTCTGGGAGTGAGTAGAATGCTAGGAGATCAACAAAAACAAGGGGAAACTCAGTGATAGACACATTAGCCTCAACTGGGGACTGGGCCTTTCTGTCTGTTACATATAAGGTCATGGTGAGTCTGAGTCTGAGTCAGCTGACTTGGCTGCATTTAACAGGACAGACCTAGGAGAGTGGGCATGAATTGGGAGGGAATGACAATGAGACTTCTGCCTCCGTTTCTCTGGTTAGGACTTGGCTGCAGTAGAAGAGTTACAGGGAGCATCTCCACCAGGATGGGGCTCATGGAACTGGCCCCAAGGAACTGGGATAGGAGGGACACTGATGCCGCCATGGGTTCCCTCACACCACTTCCTTCCTTCCTTCCTTTGTCCTGCAGTTCTGGCAGTATGGCGAGTGGGTGGAGGTGGTGGTGGACGACAGGCTGCCCACTAAGGATGGGGAGCTGCTCTTCGTGCACTCGGCAGAGGGGAGTGAGTTCTGGAGCGCCCTGCTGGAGAAGGCATATGCCAAGTAAGTGACCACACCCCTGCCCTAAGACTGCCTGTCCTCCATTCAGGCCTGGATTCCTAAAAAACAGGAAACATTCAAGGGCTGCTGTATTTTTATGCAAATAATGTGCAAGTTGTATGAATTTTTGCAAACCACAAAACCCCCTCTTGAATGAATTTCCTATATGTACTCTGCACATTATATTCATGGATGTGCTATAATCTGGTGTTGTGAGTTGAAGTCCTACACTATACAAGGACTGGTACTGTGTGCCTTCAAGCTGTTTCCTACTCATAATGACCCTGTATAGGGTTTCTGAGAGCAGCTGGTGGGTTTGAACCACCAAGTTTGTGCCAGTCCTGCATCGCCAACAGCAGGAGTACTTTGGTCAAAATTGGGTTCGAGATTTAAGATGAAATATGCAAGGTGTCCACACCAGAAGTCTCAGCACTTGACTGTGACCCACAAGGTCAGCAGTTCAAATCCACCAGCTGCTCCTTGGAAACCCTGTACAGGGTCACTATGTCACTGTGAGTCAGAACCAACTCAACAGCACTTAATAAAAACAAATGCAAGGTGCCTGGCCCTCATCAATTGCTGCCGTTTTTAACAATGTATATACACAGGAACAAGCTAAAGCATTATCTGTAATGGATTTGAGAAGGAAAATTGCTTGCTTCATTGGCAGGTCAGAAAAAAATTTTTCAACTAAAGACAGCAAAGAATTTTTGCTAGTGGGCAGAACTACCCATTGCAGAAGTATGAAAATTATGGAAACATGCCCAGAACATAAGACCCCTGGGTGGTATAAACAGTTTGTACTCTACTAATCAAAAGGGGAGCATGGTGACTCTGTAGGATAAGCACTGGACTACGAACTACAAAGTTGGTGATTCAAGCTCACCAGGTGCTCCATGGAAGAAAGATGAGGGTTTCTGCTTCTGCAAAGACTTATAGCCTCAGAAACCATATACAGGTTCACTGTAAGTTAGTGCTAACTCACGGCACTCAACAACAACTAGTTAAAAGATTGCCATTTAGAAACCACCCAGGGACACCATAGAAGAAAATGCTGGTGACCTGCTTCTGTAATGATTACCACAAAAGAAAACTCTGGAGCATCGGGTCTGCACAAACCAGAGTTGGCTTGGCAGCCACAAGTTTACTGAGGTGTTTTGGCTAGAATATATGATGTCCCTGATGAAAATGATTCCCCAATTCCTTCCCAGGTAGTTCCACTTGGGTTGCCCAGACTCCTACATCAGCCCACTCCAGTACCTGTCCATGCTGCCTGGTCCCGTCCATAAAATGACTGACTATAATGCATAAAGTGGATTTCTGTTCTTACAGCCTGATGCCAAGATTCACGTGCCCAGCTGTGAGAACCAGAGCCCGAGGGATGGCTCTGAGCATTAGAAAGGCCACAGGCCTCTACCTCAGCGGTTAGGAGCAGTAAGCCCACACTCCCACGGTGCCACGTCTACGGGAAAACTGCCTTTGGTGTTGGATTGCTGTCTTATATTAAGTTATTAATGCCAGTTGATTAGCAACCTCCCCTTTCCTGCCAGGTTGTGGGACGAATCACTGCACATATTTGGGAAATTGGACAGGATAATTGCCAAGATCCTTCCAACTCTAAGACTCTGAGGTTTATTTGAAAACTTCTCCAAGTTTCAGGGAAATGATAATAGTGGAGATAGTGACTTGCCTTCATGGGCACACAAAGCAAAGGAGAACCTGAGCAGAGGGACCTGCAGTGTCAAAGAGACAGGTTGTCAATGGGGGGAAACCCTCTGAGAGGCAATTGTGTTGGCAGCAGCTACTCCTTCCCTCTTGCAGGATCAATGGGTGTTATGAAGCACTCTCGGGGGGCGCCACCACCGAGGGCTTTGAGGACTTCACCGGGGGCATTGCTGAGTGGTATGAGTTGAGGAAGGCCCCTCCCAACCTGTTCAAGATCATCCAGAATGCACTGCAGAAAGGCTCTCTCCTCGGCTGCTCCATTGATGTAAGTCCAGCCTTCCGTCCCTGCCACCTCACCCTCAGCTGCCTAGAAGACCTGCTGCCCCATGTACAGCACTAGCCCACCACTGGCCCACAGTGTAACTCAGCACATGGCACCAAGCAGTTGCTAGGCAACAGTCAGCCTGTCTGGGTACAACTGATGGAGGTGATAGTACTCTAGCCCTTTTCTCCCCCACCCATTTTCCCATTCTCAGCCTCCTCGGAATAACCATCCCAGACTATAGGTTCCCTGAAAACCCCCTGCCCTCTGCTAGTCTAGAAAGTAGGACTGCCCAGGACATGCACTCCTCTCACTCTGTTCCAGGATTAATGGGCCAGGGGAAAAACTTCAGAAGGCCCAGCAAGAAACCATAATAGCTGTGCTGATAAATCTCACCAGGGTGCCAGGGGAAGGGAGGTGGGCTTGATGTCCTGACCCCAAGAAGCCTAGAAGCATAAGTTGTGTCCAATGTCCTGAGCCTAGCCCCATCTAGGAACTGAGCCCCACGGGAGAGAGATTAGAAATTCTGGCACTCGGGCTCAAAATCTGTCAGACTGTGGACCATGGCAAGGCAAAGGATGACCCTTTGTACTCTCAGCCCTTTCTTCCCATTGACCAAGACAAAAATAACAACTGTCCTCAAAATAGATGGGGAAAGGGGGTGGTTTTGAGATATTTCTCGCAAAGTATGGACTCAGGTCCTAAACCAAGAACTGTCATAGTATACACATACTATTTGGCTAGGCCAGACCCCAGAGCATCAGGAACTGGGCACAGATGGTCTATTGTCTCCTGTGACCCTGCCTGCCCCCCCCCTCAGGTGTGACTGCACCTTTCTCACATTAATGATGGCAGTCTGTCCTGTGCTCACGCCCCTGGAGGGTGCATTTAAACTTTCCTCCTGTTCTTCAAGGCCGTTCAGCACCTGAAGCAGCAGCCCCGGGGGAGGGGGCCTGTTGGGTGTCAGAAAGCTCACCTCTGCTCCCTTTTTCCCCATCCAGGACGGCACCCACCCCCCAAGTGTGTCCCAAGTCACACCTAACTTTTGGGGGATGTGTGTGGTGGAACCAGGGTGAAGGGAGGAGAAGGCGGCGGGCGGGGTTGATCTCTCCCCTGTTTGCAGATCACCAGCGCTGCTGACTCGGAGGCCGTCACCTTCCAGAAGCTGGTGAAGGGGCACGCGTACTCGGTCACCGGAGCCGAGGAGGTAACTCCCAGCAGGAATGGTCAGGGTCTCTCTCTCTCCCTAACACCATGGCCCAAAGCACATCTTGGCCTGCGAATGCCCTGGGTGGGGCCCGCGCATTACCACCATGCTATTACAGGCCTGGCTTTCCTGAAGTTGAAACAGGAATAGAGCTTTCCCTTCCGGAGCCCAGCCAGCCAAGCGTGGCGCGCTGCCCTCTAGTGGCCGCGATGCTCAGCTCAGCGGCTTTGTTTTACATATTTTTTTAGACTTAAAATCTTACTCTTCTGGGTCAGTTAGTAAAACTAATAAGACATTACTGTGCTTCTAAATAGTGTTTCAGGCTCCTTAAAGCGTCCCCACATTTCATTTCACAAAAGCAGCTGTGTCTAGCCACGTTCAAATCTGGCTCTGCCTTCTTCCTGCAGTGTGGGCCAGACCCTACTCAAATGCTCAGCTTTCTCATCTTTAAAATGGAAATAATCATCACGAAATGCCCCTTGTGATGCTGTCGTGGTGATTAGATCACGTTACTGTGTGCAACTTGCTTCCACAGTGTCTGAGAATTCTTCCACGTTGTTATTACTCAGAATGCTGCAGCCCACAGTCAATGTTAATTTATAAGACCCAGACTAAACACCAGCTCTGCTGGCATGTCCAGTGTTTTGTTTTTTAACAGCAGGTTTTAAGTGCCACTCCATCTTCTGATTCTTAAAAAAAGCAGTCTCTCATACACTTCCTTATTCGAGATATTTCATACAATTGGGATAATACGAGTATAATATTTGCTCATTTGTGGTTGACTGAATTCACTCAGCATCAGGTTTTCCAGGTTTTTCTGTGTTGTAGCATGAATCAGGACTTTGTTTCTTCTTATGGCTGAGTAGCATCCCATTGTGTGTACCACACTTTGTATATCCAGTCACTTGTGGAGCTTTTGGCTGTTGTGAATAGTACTACAGTGAATACTGGTGAGACCAGTTCTTTTGATAAGTATTAACGCTTCACTGGGAGCCCTGGTATGGCGCTGTAGGATAAGCACTAGACTACTATCCACAAGGCTGGCAGTTTAAACCCACCAGCTACTCCTTATTCAGGGTCGCTGTGAGTCAGAACTGACTTGAAGGCCTGTAACAACAACAAAGCTTCCCCAAACGCCTATGACAAAGTACTGTGTTCAGTTAAAGTTCAGGGAAGTCAAGTGCCCAAACCAGGCCTAGAACAAGGATGTTTGTGCCTCAGACTCAGAACAAAGGTGAAAAAGCTATAAAGCCACTTTCTAAACCTCCCAGGACATGCTGGAGTGGGCTTTGAACCAGAGTATTCCAGGCCTGACTTTGTTGTTGTTGTTAGATGCCATCAAGTCATTACTGACTCATGGCAACACTATATACAACAGAATGAAACATTGCCCGGTTCTGGGCCAACCTCACAATGTTGCCACGCTTGAGCCCATTGATGCTGCCACTTGGCCAATCCATCTCACTAGGGGTCTTCCACTTTTTCTCTGACCTTCCACCTTACCAAACATTATATCCTTCTCCAGTGACTGGCCCCTCCTGACAATATGTCCAAAGTATGAGAGATGAAGTTTGGCCATCCTGGCCTCCCAGTAGCACTCTGTCTGTGCTTCTTCCAACACAGATCTGTTGGTTCTGTTGGCAGCCCATGGCACTTTCAATATTCTTAGCTCTCATCTAATCCTTTAGGTTGAAAGCAACGGAAGTCTGCAGAAACTGATCCGCATCCGAAATCCCTGGGGGGAAGTAGAGTGGACCGGGAAGTGGAGTGACAAGTGAGTGGTTTCTGGAGAGTGGGAGACCTGGGAAAAAGTGCAGAGGCAAAGCAGCGGGGTGCATTCTGCCCCCCAGCTTCTCAAGCAAAACACTCTCTATTAAGGGTCCTTTAAGCAGTATTCTTGGAGTCCCTGAGTGGTACAAACATTTAACACACTTAACCAAGGAGTCTTGGTGTGGTGCTGTGGGTTACTGTGCCAGACTTCAAAGCCGTTTGAACCACATGGTTGGTGGTTCAAGCTCACCAGCTGCTCCTCGGAAATCCTATACAGGGTCACTATGGGTCTGAACTGACTCGACAGCACTTAACAACAGCTGCTAACCAAAAGGTTGGTAGTTTGAATAATCAACAGACACCTTGAAAATTTGAAAGGTCTGGTGATCTACTTCCAAAAAATCATTGAAAACCGTTTTCTTTATCGTACACATGGGGTCAACTCCTTAGTAACTGGTTAACCAGGGCATGGCGTCAGCAGTATAAGCGCATTTGCACACGGCCCAGGGCTCCTAAAATGCTCTTCCCTTTCACTCGCTCATGGCTAATCCCTTCTCTGCCTCAAATTCACTCTTCTGTGGGGCTTTTAACCAACTCCCATTTCCAAGGCCTCACTTTCTGGTTTTTGTTTTTTAACATTTTGTGTGTCGTGAGCACGTTAACCTCCCACTCCACAGCGTATGCGTGTCTTGTTTCATGACATCAGTTGCGATCCTCTCAATGTAGTAACACTCTTCCCACTTCTTTCCCAGGTTCCTCATTTCCATTCATCCTTCTTTCCTGCCCCTTCCTGCCTCCTTGCTGTGTCTGGGTCATCAGAGATAAGAGTGGGTGTCCTTGTTCTCAGCTGTGGGGAGAGAAGCCGTCACCCTACGACAGCCGCTGTCTAATGCCTTCCTCATCACTTTACTTTCCAGCTGCCCAAACTGGAACACTATTGACCCAGACGTGAGAGAACGGCTGACCAGGCGGCATGAAGATGGAGAATTCTGGTAAGAATAGTAGTGGCTTCCAGGAAAGATTCATCTGTATGTATTTGTACTAGAACATTTCTCAAAAAGGAGTATGAATTGAAAGTGAGATTATTTATCATATTGAGGACAGAGGGACATAGGACCCCGGAGTGTGTGTGGGTTTGTGTTTGTACATGCCTTTAATTCCTTTTCGTGAATCACTGTAGGACCCTGAACAAAAAAAAATTCTAAAACGTGTCGTCAATGCGTCCACCTGATGAATCAGGTTTAAAAGCTGAGCAGCTTCACTGAAAAGGCTGAGAGGAATTCCTAGATTAATGTTCACATTCCAAGAGAGAACAAGGGGCCAGATGGGATCTTTCTCCTGGAACTTCATCCCTCAGTGAGCAGTGATGTACCCACACTTCTGTGTGTCTGTGTCACTCGGAGGACCCCTTCCATCTGAACAGGACCAGCAACTTACCACATGTTACCTCTACCTCTCTGCAGATGAGAGCTCTGAGCTTCCAAGAGGTCTACGTAACTTGTTCAAAATCACCCAGCTAGAAAGTGACAGAGCGAGGACTGGAATTTGGGTCTCTTGATTCTGGACCTGGTACCCACTGACCCTAAGTTACTGTCAAGGTAACTTAGGGAGGTCAAGGTTTACCAATGCATTCGCCTGTAACCCTTGAATGCCGGTCTCTGCTTTTGCCAGGATGTCCTTAGGTGATTTCCTGAGACACTATTCCCGCCTGGAAATCTGCAACCTGACCCCCGATACGCTCACCAGTGAATCCTACAAGAAGTGGAAGCTTACCAAGATGGATGGGAACTGGCGGCGGGGCTCCACCGCAGGAGGTTGCAGGAACTACCCGAGTAAGGCCTGTTGTCACCTGGGACCACAAGAGGCTGAGGCACCCAACCCTGCAGTGATGTGCAGCACCCCAGCCTGGCAGCTCCTTCCTAGGACCCACCCTCAATTTCTTTCTTCCTGAGCCTCAGTCTGGAGACTCTTATCTGTTTTCTCAGCTCCATTACCTCTTATATTCATTTGTCTCCCTACCCAGGCAGAACTTGCTCTTTCTAGAATGTTCTCTCCAGATGCTAGAGTCCCATATGTCCACTGAGGCAGTGCTTCTTGCCCTTGAGCTAATCCTTCCACACTAAGCCCTGGTGGCCTAACCCTGCAGGGAACCTCACCCACTGCACCCAGAGAGCCCCTCTGCACCTTGCTGACAGAGCTCCTGCTCAGGTGAAGGTGGTCTTCTACTCCGTTGATTCTCTTGACTGTTCTGCTTTGATGACTCATTCCTCCCACCTCCCTCCCTCAGAAATAATCTAATCATGATGAGAGCTGCCAATAGAACACAAGTTGGGTTGTAGGAACTGTTCCAAGAGCCTTACATATCTATTATTCCATTTACTCTCTACAACAAACTTCTGAAGTAGGCACTTTATTATCATCTCTATCCATAAAGATCAAGGAACCTAGGCTTGGGGAGGTTAAGTGACTCGTCTAAGGTCTCACACTTAATAAGCTTGGATTTAAGCGCAGGCATTCTGACCAGAGAGTCCACTCTGTAAGTATTGTGGTGAGTAGGTCATGGCCATATACTGATTCTCTGTACAGATGAGGAGACTGAGCCTCTAAGTGGCTGACCAGGGCCACTAAGCAAGCAGTTAAAGTGGGACCCACTGTATGGTGCCTCTAGGACTGGTGCTCTTACTCCTTCACCCCAAGTATGCAGCCACCAAATGGTGGTTTCAGAGGTTCTGAGAAGGCCTCTACCTGCCCCAAAATATACCTCCTCGTCTACCCACTAAGTCAAGGTTGGCCAACTCTCTGTAGAGAGCCAGCTGGTAAATATGTTCAGCCTTTCAAGCTCTTCAGTCTCTACCACAGTTACCAGCTGTTCAGTAAAGCTGCAACTACTTAGCTCTGCTTGGTAGCCTGAAAGCAGCCCGCCATGTTGCTGTTGGTGGTAAGTGCCATCAGATTGGTCCAGACTCATAGCGAACCCGTATAGGGTTTCCAAGGAGTAGCTGGTGCTTTTGAACTGCCAACCTTGGAGTTCACAGTCCAGTGCTGTTCCTCCAGTGCCACATCATGTTGTTGTTGTTGTTAAGTGTCGTAGAGTCGGATCCGACCCATAGCAACCCTGCATAGGGTTTCTGAGGAGCAGCTGGTGCGTTTGAACCGCCAACCTTGTGGTTCGCAGTCTAGTCCTGATCCTGCAGCTCCACACCATAGACAATACGTAAATCAATGTCTGTGGCTGTGTTCCAGTAAAACTTTATTTACAAAAACTGGCAGTAATTCAGAGGACTGTAGTTTGCCAGCCCCTCATCTAATTCAATTAGAGTTTTACCCTATTATTTAGGGAAGTAACCAGCATAATTACCTTTAAACATGAGTGAATCTCAGATCCTTCTTATAGATGAGTTTTTGGAAGTAGGGAAGGCAGAGATACCATGAGGGTGGGCAAGAGATAGGCCTGATAAAAACCAAGGAACCCAAAGTAAAAGGCAGTGTTTGTGGCCTCTGTGTTCTCTGAGGGCTAATGTGCCATAAAGCAGATGGCCCTGGGCCTCCTCAGGTCAGTTCGTGCTAGCCAATCTCTGACCTTCCCATTAGAGTCCCATGAAAATGATCCCCACCACTAGGGGGAGCCACATCGCAGTCAAAGGAAATGTGCCCTTCACACACTACCACATTGATTTCTAGGGTGACACAAACAGTCCCCACGACAAGTCAACCTGAAAACAAGAGAGGGAATGCAAGAGCGGCTTTCTACTTATGTCCCCATGAAACACAGACAAGCACAGACCATCCTTTCTCTCAGCCCACCATCACCCCATGCCCACCCAGTCCTCTTCTTCATCCATCTCCCAGTAGACTTTAGCCCAGGGACAAGGAGCCACCTCAGAGATCACTTTCTACCCACTATGGCGAGGGGCCACCTCTTCCTGCTCAGAGCTGGGCTCCTGGGCCCCGGGGGACTGACCACGGCCACTCTCTGGCTGCAGATACTTTCTGGATGAATCCCCAGTACCTGATCAAGCTGGAGGAGGAGGATGAGGACCAGGAGGACGGAGAGACGGGTTGTACCTTCCTGGTGGGTCTGATCCAGAAGCACCGGCGGCGGCAGAGGAAGATGGGCGAGGACATGCACACCATCGGCTTTGGCATCTATGAGGTGGGCAGACAGGGAGCTTCTGCCTTCACTTCCGCCTTTTCTCTTCTCAGACTGGGAGTTTGGTCAGGGGAGAACAAAGCCATGGCCTGTCAGTAGGAGAACCTCATGCAGGGAGCGTCCTTGAAGCTGGTTTCTGTCATCAGGGCATTTCAAGCCTTTAGCTGGGAGTTGTTAGCTGTTGTCAAGTTGGCCTCCAGCCCCCAGAGAGCCCATGCACAACAGAACAACATGCTGCTTAGCCCTGTGCTGTCCCCATGACCAGCTCTAGATCTGACAGTTTGTGATCCATAGGGCTCTCGTGGCTGATTTTCAGATGTAGGTTACCTGGGCTTTCTTCCTAGTCTGTCTTAGTCTGGAAGCTCAGCTAAATGCTGTTCGTCATCATAACAAATGCAAGCCTCCACTGAGATCTCTTGGGAGTTGCACTCTTTAGAATGGCCTCCTTGCTCTTTCTTACATACCCACCAATCTCCAAAGAACAAGGAAACTTAAGCTGAGAACAGAGTGTCCTGGACCACATTCAGGAACAATCGTGAGGACAGGAACTGAGCCAGCAGGTCCAGCTGGTCCAAGCCCAACAGAGTTGTTGGCATGGAAGGTGGACTACTCAGAGGAGAACAGCCATTCTTTCTGCTCCCACCAGGATTCTGCTCACTGGCTGGGTCCCTGGGCCCCACATAGACACTCTCTCTGCCTGCACATTATTCTCTCATCTTGTACCAAGTTAAGAGACGCAAGCCCTGACCAGAGGAGAGTTTCATCACTTCAGGCGGAGTGCTAGGTGGAGAGAACTGGCCAAGGCTCTGGACCCTGGACCCTCTCCTATCCCCTCCCCTCTGCAGCACACAAAAGAGCTGCTCACTGCTACCTTGGGTTTGCAAGGAAGATTCTGAAGGAGCTGGAGTGGGTGCGTGTGGGTTTAAAGAGTGGTTCCTGAGAGTTCAGTGTGTTTCTCTCCCAGCCCCTCGTGCAGTGAGGTCACTACCCACCCACTGCTGTCAAGCCCCTTCCCATTCATAGCAACCCTCTAGGTCATAGTAGAACTGCTCCATACGGTTTCCAAGACCATATGTCTTTACAGGATTGGACATCTTTGTCTTTCTCCCTTGGAGTGACCGGTTGGTTTGAACTTCCAGCCTTATGTTTAGCAGCCCATCAGGGCTCCATTTGGTGGTGGTGGTGGTGTGCTGTGGAGTCAGTTCCAACTCATAGTGACCCTGTATAGGGTCTCCAAGGCTGTAAATCTTTACGGGAGGAGAAAGCCTCATCTTTCTCCCATGGGATGACTGGTAGTTTGAAACTGCTGACCTTGAGGTTAGCAGCTACCAGAGCTCCTCAGGGCTCCATTTACACTACAGAAATAAGCAAATACTACAAATGAGGTTCCCCACCTTAACTAAGAGCCAATTTACCAGCATCTGACTCCCTGTGTGTGCCCCGCCAGGTGTTGGGATGAGGCTATCCCTACACACTGGCAACTTCATACTGCTCACCTACCTGAGACAGTTGAGTAAGCACAGTCAGTGCTAAAAAATGCACGGAATCCCAAAACTGTCCCTCCCTGAAATAGACGCTTGAGGACTTCAGATCAGTGACAAAATAGCTCCCCAGGGATATGCAGGCTGAATTATGAGACACAGCTGCCCCACCTCCCCACCTGGCTTGGAAATCTCATCACAGATATTCAGAGCTGTGATCATTTGGTCCCATTTAAGACATAAGGAAACTGAGGTCAGAGAGGACAAGTGATTTGCTGAAGGAGTACCGATTGGTTGTATAGGCTAAGGCCTAGAAAGGTTCACCTGGTTGTTTCCTCCCCTGGCCACTGTGTCCTCTGGGGGCTTTGCGTTGTCAAGGCTGCTGACTGACCTAAGACATTATTCCCATCATGCCTAGGTTTTATGCTCTGTAAATTGAGAATAGTAGTATGGAAGGGCCCATCCACATTATTTCCAGGCTATTAGAAAAATTTTCTTAGTGTTGAAATGGTTTGAGTTCTGTGAAAAAAATAATGACTGTGTTGATTTGTTTAATCTGTAAAAGCTACAGAAAAAAATGGGATAGCAAGAGAGGCAATTTAAGGGCTGGCTTTTTTGCTTGCAGCTTTCCTGGGTGTAAGTTAAGTGTTGCTCTCCTTTCTCTTGGCAGGTTCCAGAGGAGGTACGTCTGACACACTGGGGCTCAGGTTCACCAGCAAATGAGAGGCTCGGGCTGTCGGGGCTCAGAAAGTATCATGAAGCGTGGGCAAGGGCTGCAGCTGTGTAGAAGTCTTGTATCCTTTGAGGCCCTGGTGAGGTGACTCACATCCACTTAAGTCCCAGTGGCCGGGCAGAGCCCACACAAGGTTCAGTTCCAGGTCGGTAGCCCATGGTCCCAGGACTTCAGTAGGCTCTTTAAGGAGTCCTGTGTAGCTTCTTAAAACAAGCCTGAAAGGGAGCGATGAACCCTGCAGTCTGAATTGCAAGATGGCATGGAAGTGCAGGGAAGGGGACATGGACCCAATTAATTCCCAGCTCTCCCATTTGTAGGCTGCGCGTCCTTGAACAAGTTACAAGTTCTAGACTTCAGTTCGTTTTCAGTAGAACTGGGCAAACATTCCACTTCAGCAGATTATTATGGGGATTAAATTAATTACATAAGGGTAGTTAGTGGGCCCACAATTTGTGGACTCGGAATCTGCTTAAATGCACAAGTGTGGTGCATGTCTTTACATGAACGAGTTGCCATCAAATCTACTCATGACAACCCAAGTGTGTCAGAGTAGAACTGGGCTCCATAGGGCGTTCAGTGGCTAATTTCTCTGAAATAGATCTCCAGACCTTTCTTCCAACTCACTTCTGGGTAGACTTGAATCATTTTGGTTAGCAGCCAAGCATGTTAACCATGTGCACCACCCAGGGACTCAGGTGTATGTCTTTAAAGATCACAAATATTACCAACTGAAGAGACAGCAGGTACTCTGACAACCAGCTAGGCAGTGCGACCAGTTGCATTTTGGGCTTTTCCTGGTACAGCTTGTGAATTCTGGCTCCAACCTTGGTCAGACTGCCCACACTAGCTTGGAAGCTGGGCAGCCTTCACCTGCCCCTGGTGCGGTTTTTGCTTTCAAGAGTGTGTCTTACAACCCATAGAACTGAACCAGATTTCTGCCTAGATTTGTGCCCTGTGAGCACAAACCTTCCCTGAGATTCACTTAGAAGAAGGCTGAGGAACATCTTGTGGAGAAATGGGGTGCCTTTGCAGGCCAACCAGTGACCAGGGAGCCACTGTTGGGTGTGCTTTTGACTTCCTCAGGGGACATTTGTTGTTTCAGGCAAACTTTGCTGTTTAGCTTACATGATCCAGACTTTGTCACTGCAAGTCTTTGATTCCAGTGAGTGAAAGTAATCTTCATTTGGGGCATCTCTCCCTCTACTTCCACTCATTTCTCTGTTCATTCACCAGTTCACTGGGCAAACCAACATCCACCTCAGCAAAAACTTCTTCCTGACGAACAGAGCACGAGAGCGGTCCGACACCTTCATCAACCTCCGCGAGGTGCTCAACCGCTTCAAGCTGCCTCCAGGAGAGTACATCCTGGTGCCATCCACATTCGAACCTAACAAGGATGGGGACTTCTGCATCCGGGTCTTCTCTGAAAAGAAAGCTGACTACCAGTAGGTGGTTTTTCTTACTTCCTTTCCCTACCCGTCTCTGTTCTTCCTCAGGTCTGTTCCCTGCTACTCCACTGACCATTCATTTCTTTCTATGGACCCCCTGCCTGCTTCAAAGCGGGAAGTGTAGGGATTTGGTATTGAAGGACTATTAGTTAGGGTTACACTCAGGGAAGCAAAGAAAAAAGCCACTCAACGATATGTTTTTTTAGGACAAGGATGGTTGACACCTTGTAGAATGAATTGTAGGGACTGATTTCACAGTTGTGTGTCTGAATTATCCTGCTTTTATTGTCCATTTTGATGGCCTCTATTAGACTAGCTAGGCAACACGGTGGCTCTCTACAATAAACACCTGACTGCAAACCACAAGGTCAGCAGTTGAGCCTACCAGTTGCTCTGTGGGAGAAAGATGAGGCTTTGTGCTCCTGCAAAGATACAAAGCTTCAGAAACCCTATACAGAGTCGCTATGAGTCAAACCAACTCGAAGGCTCCTATCAACAACATTAAACTTGCTGTAGTCCTCATTTGGTGCTGTAGGATACGCATTGACTGTTAACTACAATGCAGTTCAAAGCCACCAGTCGCTCCTTGGATACTCTATGAGTTGGAACCAACTCCAAGGCAACAGCAGCAGCACTAGCTAGGAACGCAGCCCCACGTATGGAGAAAGCTGAGCAGTGCTGGGTAATCCTTGCTTTCCCAGCCCGCTGACCACAGAGAACCACCAAGCGTGTAACTGACAGTCTGTGGTCTCTGTCTCCAGAACCTGTCCCCACTGTGGTCAGTGAGGCTTCTGGCCCCCTCCCCTCACTGGAGCCAAGCCATTTGGAATCATTTCCAGCTGGTAGCACAGTTTCCCGACACTTTGGCTACTACCTCAACCATGGACATTCAGTTGTGCCACTTAAGCCAAAAGAAATTCATTGAAAGACTGTTGGGGACTCCAGAACTGATGGGAGTCTAGGGGACAAGATGGGGAAGGGCAGGAGGAAGTGAGGAGGGCCCTGGCCCACCATGGGAAGTAGAGGGTGTTGCAGTTGCCTCTTCTCAGGGAGGAGGGCTGTGGGACCTCAGTGGTAGAGTCCCCCCTGTCATCCAAGAGCCCAGAGTCCTGGAGTAGCTGTAGGATAAGCACTGAACCACAGGGTCAGAGGTTCAAAGTCAACATCCACTCCTCAGAAACCCTATATAGGGTCACTATGAATCTACACTGACTCATCGGCATTTAACGACAACAACATGCAATGGACCAGAATTATGGAGTGGTGCTGTAGGATCATTACTGACTACTAACCACAAGGTTGGTAGTTCAAACCCACCAGCTGCTTGCTCCTTGGAAACCCCATACAGAATCGCTGTGAGTCAGAACTGACTCGATGGCACTTTTAACGATAATGAAGCTGAACAGGTTTCAGTGGAGCCTCCAGACTAAGACTAAAAGAAAGGACTGGGGGTCAACTTCTAAAACTCTACCAACGAGAACCTTGTGGGTCACAATGGTCCAATCCACAAGCAGCCTTGAGACCGGATGGCCTTTAATTTTGTTGTGCCTGGGGTCACCATGAGTCAGGGGATCTACTCAACAGCATTAACAACATGTCCCCTTTGACCTTGTGCTGCTTGCTCAGTTCTGAAGAACCCGTACAGTGTCTGATGGACCAGGCTTAGGGCAAACCCCTAGCCCGCTGGCTTCGAGAGGGAAGTGGGCATTGGGAAGTAGAAGCAAGGATTGCCCTTGTTCCAAGACAACTGTGATAGAGAAGTTATTACCCTTGAGGAAGCTGAGTGCTGTTAAGGGAACTAACACTGTCATTTCGCCTGTCTGCAACTTCCCTGTCACTCATGATTCTTCTTCTATAACCTTGTCCTGGGTAGGAGCCTTCCCACCATGCTCATCTTAGGATCCACTGGAGGAAGACTGGTGTATTCCGCTTCCTGTCTCTCTCTGCCAACCACAAGCCACTCTCCCAGGGAGTGGGAACCCTCTTAGCTCACCTGCCCTCCAGAGTGAGCTTCCTGCCCACATAGGACAGCCCTTCCTCACCTCCAGGCAAAGATGCATTGCTTCCTGTTCCAGATTCTATCTCTCAGCATTAAGAGGCCCTTCATCCTCTCTTCTGTGTGGCGTCAGCACTGCAGATAGGAGTCTTAGCAGCCTAGGTTGAGACCAGGGACTGTATATGGGGTAAACTATCCACTGTCTTTCGGAGTCCTGATGTGGAGCTGTGGGTCAATGCCCTTTGAACTGCAAGGTTGGCAGTTGCTATGGGTCAGAACTGACTCGACGACACTTCACAACAACAACAAAAACCCACTGTCTTTGCTTCCACTGAAATTCCCCATGGGCCTTCACGCTGTCTGCCTTCACTAGTTGTCACACAGTAGAACATGTAGAGCACTGTTCTAAATCATCATGTGATTTTCCATTTAAAAGCTTTCTTGTGGTCAAGAGTGTTTCCAGGGGACTGTGAACGCTGTCCCTTGAACACCAGGATGGAGTGAGGTGTCTACAGTGCCGCACCAGAGCAAGATTGTGCCCTGTCTAGCAAACAGAAACAAAATCGCCAACTGGCCAAGTTGTTTGGCCTAAAACTCCTTTGAATCTTTTTTTTTTTTTTTTGCCTTAATTTCTGCTACTTGAGGAACGTCTTGCCATAGAAATTTAGGATACAAAGAAATCTCCCTCTGCCCCCTCCTCCTGCTGGATGTTAACTTTGCACCTCCATCTCAGCAAGGCTATCTGCAACTTCCTTTCCTCCTCAGCCCCATTTCTACTAACACATCATTTCTTTCTATTTTCAGGGTTGTTGATGATGAAATTGAGGCCAACCTTGAAGAGGTATTTGTAACTCTTTGAATTCTACCCACTCTGACATGGAAAACCTAGAGATTAGAGGAGAAAAAAACACTTAGAGGGGCTCCTGGCACTTTGTGAACACAGCTTGGAGCTAGGGATACAGTCCTTGTGTTGGGAGGGGGATGGGAGGAAGGGGTATTGAGGACAACACGGATGGATAGATGAATGAAGTTCTTGTCACCCTTTTCTGGGCCCCAGTTTTCTCTGCCATAAACTGAAAGCTTGGGGACATGATTCTCAGATTCCCTTGTTCCAAAAGGTATGATTCCGTGATAAATCCTGAAGGGCTTTTAGGGTTACAACTTGGGAACTTCAAAGGAGGCCCAACCTTAACAAATCCAGAGACACGTGAGGGCATCACCACAATTGAGCAGTCATAACTGACACCTTCTCCCGACCTGCCCTGGGGCCTAAGGGGCTAAACAGCTAGTCATGGGGATTTAGTAAGAGACTGAATAATTAAAAGGTCCCATGGACTTTGCTTACTAGCCACTATCAGTATTCTTCCAGAGCATTCCAGTGTGGTTTTAAGCTTCCAAGTCCCTATTAGAGTAGATCATAAAAGGTAGCTTTGGTCAGATGTTACAGAAGATGCCTGTTGTAAGATATTAAAATATAATTTCTTCCCACATTATTTCCATTCCCTCTCCTATGTCTTACCTAGAAAACGATGACATTATTCATTCATGTTACTGTCTTTTATCTCAGTCTCAATAATCTAAGGGTTAGGGCCAAGAGAAGCTGCAGAGGGAGACGTGGAGAACAGGGCCGTGAAGGGGTAGGAGGCCGCCGTGGGAGGGAGAGCAGGCAGCGTGTGCTCATTCTTTGTTCTGAGCCATTGTTGCTCCTTTCTGTGCTTCACCTTCCAGATTGACGTCAGTGAGGATGCCATTGACGATGGATTCAGAAGACTGTTTGCCCAGCTGGCAGGGGAGGTAGGTGTTCCAGAAAGCTCAATGTTTACACACTGGTTGATGCAAATGAAACAAGTCATTGTCCTCAGGAGGCTTCAGTTGAAACAGACTAAACAAAATCAAAGAGGAATCACAAATGTAACTTAGATTTTAGCTCATGCCTGCCCCCACCGCCTCCCCAGGGCCTCTGCTTATGGCAGGGGTATCTGCTGCTATGGTCAGCCCTAGCACTGCATTCTTCTTTCCATGGAATTCTTGCTGTCACTTGTGGCTGTCTGTTTTCTCTGGTCTGTGCCAGCTTAAGCATGGAACTTGGCCCCTTATGCTTGATTTCCACAGAAGCAAACTAATTGTGTATAAGCATTTGGGGCAGAATGGCTTCAAATCACAAGAATGCAATCAGCTTAAATCAGTATTATGCATCCTGCCAAGTAGCATAATGGATTATGAGCTGGGCTGCTAATCACAGGGTAAGTAGTTCAAATCTACCAGTTGCTCTACAGAAGAAAGAAAAGGCTTTCTGCTCCCAGTAAGATTACAGCCTCGGAAACCCTATACAGGGTCGCTATGAGTCAGAACTGACTCGATGGCATGCAACAAGCACGACCACCATACATCCTTAGTCTTTAAAAATTAAAAAATAACAGGAGCCCTGGTGTTGCAGTAGGTTAAGCATTGGGCTGCCGACTGCAAGGTCACTGGTTCAAAATACCAGCTGCTCCGCTGGAGAAAGACGTGGCTGTCTGCTCCCATACAAAGTTACAGTCTCTGAAACCCTATAAAGCAGCTCGACACTATCCCATAGGGTCACTCAGAGTCACAATCGACTTGATGGCAATGGATAGTCTTTTAAAACTCCTCAGCCAGTTAGGTGGCATCTCCTGCAAAGTTACTCAGCCATCTTCCCAATTTAAAAAAAAGAGTCCTTTTTCACATGTACAGGAGTTTAGAATGCAGCTCTCTCCAGCTTCCATTGTTGAACTCATGCGAGCCTCCCTTTTCAGCAGAGTCATCGAAGCGCTAAACCAGGTGCCCTCTGCTCCATAGTCCCGCCAGTTTCTTAAGAGAAAGGGGCATTATAGAGACGTATTTCCCTCACTAACATGAATCAGAGTCCTGGTGTGGCGCTGTAGGATCAGCACTGGACTGCTAACCACAAGGTCAACAGTTCAACCCCACCAGCCACTCCTTGGAAACCCTACACAGGGCGGCTATGAGTCATAACGGACTAGATGGCATGTAACAGTAACAATATAAATTAAGATATACACACAAACTCCAAAAAAGGCAGAAATGACTACAAAGCAATCTAGGTTTTAGTAATGAAATTTGTCCCTCATTCTCAAACCTATGAGTAAGTTACTAGAGGTGCCTGCATACCTTCTGAGGGATACTCAGATAGGGAAGGCCAGTTCTTGAGGGCAGTGAGTTTCCCGTTTGACAAGAAGCCTGAGATCTGAGTTGTAGAAGATAAAGTGCCATCGAGTCAGCTCCAACCCATAGTGACCCTGTATAGGGTTTCCGAGGAATAGCTAGTGAGCTTGAATTGCCAGCCTTGCAGTTCAAATGGCTTTTCAGTCTGACTCATTAACCCACAGCACCACACCAGGACTCCAAATGGGTGAAAAAATGAAGTTAGGTAAGCCCACAAACATGGGTGGAGTCGAAAATGTATTCTTTATATTCTCTAGAGCAAAGAACCCTTGGATGAACTGTACTAAGAACACATTAACACAGATGAGGGGTGTGGGGTGGGAAGGGGAGGTATCAGCATCACTAGGGCCTGTTAGCAACCTAGACTCAGTCACAGAAACCAGACCTATCTACTGCCCCTAGCAAAGACCTGGCATCAAGTTCCCACAGCGGCAAGTAACTGCTCTGGTTGTCTTTCCACAGGATGCAGAGATTTCCGCCTTTGAGTTGCAGACCATCTTGAGAAGAGTTCTAGCAAAGCGTATGTATGCCCCTCATTCTTCTCCTTGTGGGCAGGAGGGAGCATGGGAGTCCTTCCTTTTCCACATAGCTGCTGGTGTGGCACTGTAGTATAAAGCACTGGACCACAAGGTCATTTGAATCACAAGGTTGGCGGTTCCAACTTACCAGCTGCTTCTCGGAAACCCTGTACCAGCTTCACTGTGAGTCACAACTGACTCAACTGCACTTAACAACCCCAAGCTGTGGCTAAAGCCATCACTCCTCACAGGCATCTCACACTGTTGTCAGAGAACTGGATAAAGGAAGTTCCTGAATAAATGTGGCAAAAAAAAGAACAAAGGACCCCAGATCAAATCCAGAGTTTCATAACTAACTAAAATTGTGAGCTAAAGCAATAATAAAACTTCTCTGACTTATCTGAAATATAGGCATATTACTACATACCTCTTGGAGTGAGTGGTTGGAAGTCTTTGTGAGGCGATGTAGAAATTGCCTAGCATAAAGCCTGTGCTCAGTAAACAGCAGCTATTATGGATCCCTAGTGTGGCACTGCAGGTTAAGCATGGGACTGCTGACCACAAGGATCTTGGAAACCCTAAACAGGGTCGCTACGAGCTGGAACTAGCTGGATGTTTAGCAACAACATTGCCATGACTGTTGGGGAAGAAGTACTGAGTCCGAAAACATTCCTGAATCCCCTGGGTGTATGTAGTGGGGAGTCACCAATGTAACAACCACATTTCATGGATTAGCTAGAATGGAAAAGGATGAAAAGTCTCATCTCTCAGTTTATATGAATCAAGACTGACTAACCCAAGCTGCAGGACTTCTACAAAGAATGAGTGAAGTGAGCTAAACTGAAAAGCTTGCTGTCGCCCACCATTTATTAGACGTTGCCTAACTTCTTGAGGTGGGGAGTGAGCATCAGCATCAGCATCAGCCCACAGGGCTCTTTCCTCTGAGTGACGACCCTCCTTCCCATATACTCTCTACTTCTGTGCCCAGCAACTCATTGTAATAGCCAATACAGAACACAAGGTCGTTCTCACAGTTGTGGGTTGATTAGGGAAGTAAAGGTTACAAGGCAGGATCAGATGACTGAGGATGCAGGTCTTGGATCAGAACAGGCTTCTCTCAGCTCCACTTGGGCAAATGTTACCAAAGCTTGTAGGCTCCACCATATAAATGCCCGGAGGCATCCCACTTACATAGTAATCCTCAACCTGAGAGTGCTCAGTGGGTCATCATAGCCACCTTGTGCTGGTCTTGTGCTGGTCCCAGCAGCGCTGCAGTCCAGGAAACCCACTGTGCCATCGTGTGAATCTGCTGCTGCCGTTTTCTCTATAGTACTTGCTACTGCTTCTCACCAACTCACAGCTTTCCCAGTGTTAACAACTCTGTTTCCTGGGTCTAAGGAGTTCTCAGCATAAGGACTCCAGATCCAAAGGATGAACTCCGCTCTTGACTCTCTTTTCTTGATGGTATCAAGGTCCCCCCTTTGCCCTGGAATTAGATGTCTTTTTAAGCCTAGCCGGATATCAAAACTGACCAATCTCTTTATTAGGATTTCATAAACCTTATTTGTGTTAGCCGAAAACTGTTGAGTTCCTTTGGTGGACCACAGCACCTTATTTGCATAGTGACGTTCTATTGTTGTGGTTAGAAAGGCCACATCAAGTAATTCACTGCACTCATAGACCTGTGGTTCTCACATACCTTTACAACTATAACTATTTCTTATGCAAAAAAATATCAAAAGATTGATTGGGATCCTTTGATCACCACGGGGTGGGGGGGGCAGGAAAGAATATACGTATATGTTCATTTACATATAAAACTTTAATATGTATATATACATATATGGGAGTCCTGGTGTGGCCCTACAGGTTAATGCACTGGACTGCAAGGTCAGTTTGAACCTCAAAGTCAAAAGTTCATGCTCACTGGCTGCTCCTTGGAAACCCTACACAGGGTCGCTATGGGTCAGAACCGACTTGACAGCATTTAACAACAATATACATAATGTACATATGTCAAATACATTTATAAATATATAAAACACGTGTATATTTATTTACAAACATGAATATATATATGAGGGGGATTTAAAAGTACATGGAAAAATCCCATTGCCTTTTAATTCCATTTTTCTAAGAATTTTTGGAAGCCCTGTCTTATACAGTAAATGCATGTACGTGGTTAGTTCCCATGGAATCAACTCTGACTCACAGTGACCCCGTGTACAACAGAAGGAAGCATTGCCCAGCCCGGCGCCACCTTTGTAATTGTTGGTGTACTCAAGGCCATAATAGTCGTAGCCTCCGTGTATTGTGAGTGCCTTCCAACCTGAGAGACTCATCTTTGTGAGTTTTCATTGGCTCATTTTTGGAATCAGATCACAAACTGTCTTAGTAACCAGTCCACCATGGGTGCTCTGAAATTACTAGGGGCATAGTTTCCAGCATCACAACAACATACAAGCCACCACAGTATGCCTGACAGATAGGTGATGAGTATATATACATATATGTGTATATATGTTTATATATGTCTTCTCCTCAAATTACTACAAAAACTGTGCTTCTTCCAGTACACAATCAGAAATGTTTCTAAATCTAGACAAATACATAAACTGTCATATCCTAAATGAATCATCTGGCGAAGTCTCATGGACTTGAAAGGAAGTTGTTCCCTATGACAACAGAAGAGATGGACTCCAGCCTAATCATCCCACAAGCTAAAAGTCACTTTTAGAGACAGAGTCCAAGGCCCACATGGGTCTGCCATTCCAGTGTATGTGAACTGCGTGTGCCTCACAGAATCCTTAGTTCCTTGGCCTGAGGTGGCCCCACATAGCATGGAAGAACTGAAAGGGCCAAGGCACAGCCAGAACAGTGTGGGCTTTCTGGGAAGGCTTGCGGGGAGGGTAAGAAGAGGGTAGTTACCCTTGAGGCCACCAGGCACAAGTGAGGTCACAGGGCTCTTCAGATGTGTGGCAGTCATGAGCCAGGGAGACTGAAGCCTCATTGTTTGTCCACAGATCTGAGGGGAGGGGTCAGACCAGCTGGTCTTGCTGGGGGAGACCATCCAGTACACATGCCTCAGAGTTCACTTCCCCTCCCCCAACAGCATCTACCCAAGGCCCACACTCAACTTCTGGCTGTAATTCCAGCAGAAATCATGTCCACTCCCAAGAAGGGGTTGATGTTCACAATGGCAGCTGTGAGACCTGTTCCCAAGGTCAGCTGCAGGAGGCCAAGCGTAGTGGTTACCCTGACAGGTAGCATTACAAACGTGAGTGTCCCTCTGAAGCCTGTGGGGAACTAGCCACCCACCAGGCAGAGCTCACCCAGTAGGCATGGCAGCTCACAGACGGCATTCTGGTCAGCATGTTTCTCAGTCAGCTGGGACACACGGACGCTCTAGAGTGCCTGCAGCAAAGACCTATGGCGCTAGTCTGCCCTTCCCCTCATAGTCCTCGGCCTCACACCTCAGGTGATGTACACCCTGTTAGCACTGGACTGCTAACCTTAAGGTCTACAGTTCAAACCCACCAGCCACTCCTCAGAAACCCTGTATGGGGTCAACTCTGAGACAGCATCCTCATGTGTGTCAGAGTAGAACTGTGCTCTCTAGAGTTTTCAGTGGCTGAGCTTCCTTCAGAGGCATATCTGGGTGAACTTGAACCTTTCAGTTAGCAGTGAGCCTGTTAAGAGTTTGTACCTCCCAGGGACTCCTTTTATGTGTTGTCGTTAAGTGCCATCGAGTCATTTCTGACTCATATAGCAACCCTGTATAGGATTTCCAAGGAGCCATAGCCTTGCAGTTCAAACCAACATTGCAGCTGAGTGTTTATCCTCTAGCACCACACCAGCACTCCTACCCATAAAGACCCAGGCATTTATTGATCTTTTGTTTACTTAAAAAGCAGTTATTAAACTCTTTGTCCATGGCAGATTCACGCAGAAGTCAGACAAATGTAACACATGCCTTGTGATAAGCACTAGCCACATGTGCCTATTTAAAATAATTTAAATGGACTTCCAGCAAGATGGCAGACTACACAGATGCAGTCCACCAGGGGCGGGGAGCCTTTTTTTCTGCCAAAATTTATAACTTCATTTGTGGGTCATACAAAATTATCAACTTAAAAATTAGGCTGCTGTATTCGTCAAACATTTAATTAACTTACCCTTAAATGTGATGGAGTCCTGGTGTGGCACTTTGGGTTAATGCTCTAGACAGCAAAGTTGGTTTGAACCACCAGAGCAGTGGTTCAAGCCCACCGGCCACTCCTCAAAAGCCATATACAGGGTCACTATGGGTCAGAACTGACTCCACGGCACTTAACGACAATAACAATGTGGTGGCTGGAACTGCAGTTGCCTTGGCAGGGCCAGATCAAATAATTTTGCGGGCCCTATACAACCCACAGTCCAGATATTCTCCACCGCTGCACTGCATAGACCCTCTACAACAGAGATCAAATCAAACAAACAAAGATGAAAATCCTGGAAGCCTGAACTTCGGAAGACAGGTTAGAGAAGTAGACTAAATGCTTGCTGGGAGGAGAAGCTGAGCAGAGACGGTGAAAGAGGGAGACAGACTAGTGAACAGACAGCCAGACACACAGTGACCATCTTGTGAGCAGGTTTGGCAACAGAAGGCGGCCTGGCAGATCCGATTTACATACACGATGGGAAAGATGCAATTCCTTCTTTTTCTCCATGCTCACCTGGTGACCAGAGAGAGGAGTGGCCAGCTCCCACCCTCATCCACCCTCTGCACAGACCCTGCTCTCCTGGAGTGTTCAGAAGCCACACCAGTATGAGGCAGGGGCCAGCGGCTCTGCTTTGGTGCCTGGATTCGGGTAGGCTCAGTTCCAGACCTATAGGACCCATAGAACCACCAGACCAACATTTAACAAGTCACTCTGCCCCCAGCTGCTCTGTGGTCCTAACAGACACTGAACCCAGATTTGAAGCAATAGAAACCCAGATCGGTGAGCCTGAAGATAAACCTTTCAATATGGCTAAGCTATCAGAACAATCAGAGAAAAGGATGGAAAACTCCGATGACAGCCTAGGAATTATGTGGGACATCATGAAGAGGAACAACTTATGGGTGATCAGAATTCCAGAACAGAAAGATACAATAAAAAGCACAGAGAAAATTGCCAAAGAGTTGTTAGAAGAAAACATCTCTAACATCATGTAAGACGACATGATAAGCATTCAAGAAGCTGAACAAACCCCAAACAGGATAGATCCCAAAAGAAAATCACCAAGACAAATCATAATCAAACTTCCCAAAACCAAAGAGAGAAAGAATCCAGACAGCAGCTCAGGGAAAAGAAAAGTTACCTACAAAGCTTTGAGAACCAATAAGACTAAGCTCTGATTTCTCAGCAGAAACCATGCAGGCCAGAAGGCATTGGGATGACAGATACAAAACTCTGAAAGAAAAAAATTGCCAACCAAGAATCATACACTCAGCAAAGCTATCCCTTAAATATGATAATGAAATTAGGATGTTTCCAGATAAACAGAAATGAAAGGAGTTTGTAATGACCAGACCAACTTTACATGAACAGAAAGCCTCATCTTTCTCCCGTGGAACAGCTGGTAGTTTCGAACTGCTGACCTTACGGTTCGCAGCCCGATTCCTAACCATTACGCTAGTAAAACAAAGCTGATGGTGGTGGTTGGTGGTTATGTGCTGTGGAGTCAGAACCGACTCACAGTGACCCTGTACAGGGTTTCCGAGGGTATAAATCTTTACGGGAGCAGAAAGCCTCATCTTTCTCCCATGGAACAGCTGGTAGTTTCAAACTGCTGACCTTAAGGTTCGCAGCTCGATTCGTAACCACTGTGCTACCAGAGCTCCTTAAAACAAAGCTACAAGACTGAAAATAAGAAACCAGAGATATCCGTGTACAATGATATCAACTACAAAGCACAAAGAGGAAACCGTGTAGATACAGAACTTCCAGATGGACAAGGAAATCAAGTAGATTTCAAAATACAATAGATTGTTTTAAATAGGGAAAAGAATAAATTACAGGTAACCTCAAAGCAAATGAATATACCTCACATCAAAATAAAAAAAGAGGAAAATCCAAAAGATTTAGTAAACATTAATGCAACAAAACTAAAAAATGCAAAGAAAACTCACAAACAAAATGACCTCAGCACAGACCAATGTTATAAAAAGTTTTCTTGACAAAAGAAACAATCTATGATGATTGGGGAGGAAGAGGAAGGAAAACTTATTCACAGGCTAGAGAATAGATACGTGTTAACATGGTGACAGTTCAGGCAACATACAAGAGGGAGGTTAGCAAAGGAAAGATGAAGGTAGCAGGAGACACAGGGAGGAATGCAATGTTAAAATGAGTAGAGATCAATACTGTAACTGATGGTTTGTGGAGGAGACTGCAATTATTGTAATAAAGCACAGTATATGATTTGGTGACTGTGAAACTGATGAGCATGTAAACCTTCACTCAATTCACAGCAAAAAAAAAAAGTTTGGAAAATTACTTTAAAAATTTTTAAATAATAATTTTCATGAACATTTAAGCTCTCAACAGCCATGAGTGTCTAGTGGTTACTCTGTTGGACAGTGGGGATACTGAACATTCATCATCAGAGAGAGCTCTGCTTTCACATCTGCTCTGTCTTCTAGGCCAAGATATCAAATCCGATGGCTTCAGCATTGAGACTTGCAAAATCATGGTTGATATGCTGGATGTATCCTTTCATGTGGTCCCGAGAGCGGGTGGGTGTGTAAAAGGTCACTCTGAGAAGATGTACACGTTTTCCGCTCTGCTCCGCTCCCTGAGCTGTGTGGGCCTCTTGTCATCACTGGCTGCCCTCACTAGGGAAGCATGAGAAACCCCAGCTAAGAAAGAGAATGCCACACCCATAGCTATGAAGACTCAGACTGCAGGAAATCCCCAACGACACACCCACCAGTTCTGTCAGAGCACCTTGAGTTGCTCTCTGAGGGGCCATGTTCCCTCCAGTTCCCTAGAAAAACATCTCATCTCCTAGACCATAATATTTCTGATGTGAGCCTGTGTCCTCAGGTCAAGATTTCCTTCTTGGTTTGTAAGTAATGACATCTGCAGACCCTAAGGGTTCTCCCCCTTTGCTCTGGCTCCTTCACGGGACACAGTCATCCTCACCTTCTCCTGTATCTGCTGCCTGATGGGCCTTTGGAAGCTTTATCTAGTAGTGGACTCCTGGCAGGCACCATTGTGTGGCTTCCGTCACAGAAGGCCTCTTGGAAATACTCCACAAGATGGCAAGGGCCCACCCATTAGAAGCTGTAGCTCGTTTTAACAGGTCTGGGGCCCCCTCAGCATCCCTGCATCAAAGCAACAACCTGACTCAGCAGAGAGCTGCCACCTCTGTCACCCGTCCTCCGGGTGTCCTTCTGAAATGTCCCGTGACGGTTCTGTGATGTGCAGGACCCGGTGCCGCTGCCCACATGAGCGTTCCTTAACTGAAGGCAGTCGGATGGGAGTGGGAAGCTGGGGCTGAAGGAGTTCTACATTCTCTGGACAAAGATTCAGAAATACCAAGTAAGGCCCCAGAGGGCTGGGGATCTGTTTTGGGGACATGCTGGGCCTACACTTTAAAGTACTGCAGTTCTTCAGAGGGTGGAGCTCAGGATGTTAACGAGATGGAGCTTGGACAGAGTGGGGGGGGGGGGAGCGGGTAAATGCCACCAGTCACCTAGAAACAAAAATAAGGCATTTGCCTGTTAAGTGGTCCTCCTTTGCCTCTACCTGGTGATTTGCTAGAAATGGGGACATCTAAATGCCACCACCAAGGCCTTTCTGAAAGGCCATGTGGTCCCTTGTAGCTTGGAGTTTTGACAGTTCAAGTACAAAAATCAACTTGGGATAATGCAGGGGCCCAGGGTATGTGACCACTTGGTTTCAAAGCACAGAATGGTGAGGATTTTTTGAGAGGCAGCTTGCTGAGCCTACTTACCAAGATGATAGAATGAATCTGGCCCCAAGAACCCCACAAAACTTTCTTAAGCTTTCTCAGACATAGTTACAACCGAACCCAACAAAACCCAACCCATAGCCGTGTAGTCAACTCAAAGCAACCCGATAAGACAAAGCAAAACTGCCTGTTCGGGTTCCCAAGGCTGTCATCTTTACGGACTCCTGCTGTGGCACTGTAACACTAGACAGCTAGTCACACGATCAGCCATTCAAACCACCAGCTGCCCCTTAGAAACCCTACCTGGGGCCGCTATGAGTCAGAACCGACTCGACAGCACTTCACAACAACCACCTTTATGAAAGCAGACTGCCACATCTTTCTCCTACAAAACAGCTGGAGGGTTAGCAGCTGAGCAGGGCTCCTCCACCTAGCTCTCAGAGAAAAGCAGAAGGCTACTAGCTATGTGACGCAGAACCATGGAGAGTGCAGACTGGGAACGCTTTGTGTCCATGGAGTTTTGCTTTGGGTTCTTATACCTTATTTTGCATGTTCCAGAAAATTTACCGGGAAATCGACGTTGACAGGTCTGGTACCATGAATTCCTATGAGATGCGGAAGGCACTAGAAGAAGCAGGTAACACTTGAGAAGTATTTTCTTTCCTTTGTTTTATCTCTGAGACTTAACCTATACAATACAAAGTTTAGTCAGCTATAAAGTAAAGTAGGTACTAGCTTAATGCAAACATCCTTCTTCCCTTTTAAGGACCCATTGGTAAACTAAAATGCAGTCCAACTAAACTAAACTGCCCTTTCTGGAATCCTAGTTACTTTCCAAGCAATCTGGCAGGTCAGGCAGGCAGAGCCAGTTCTCAACAGACTACCTGGAACTCCTCCTCTCAGGTGTAGGGTTGGTTGGAATGCTTTAGTCCGACCCTTAAGGCACGTCTTTAGTGGTAGTAGATAGCAATCATAGGGCCACAGACATATGGTACCAACAGAGTGGGAGACTTGGGGGACTACAATTATGAAAACATGAGGTTGTCGACTAGTTGGAACATACTGCTCTGGCAGAGATGCTTACTTTAATAAAGTTTAATGAGATACATTTTCCTTCATATAGAATCCTTTTATGGTGCTGCAGGATAAGCACTGGATTGCTAACCACTAGGTCGGCAGTTCAAACCCACCACTCCTTGGAAACACTCCACAGGGTCCGCCATATAACAAGTCAAGTTCAGTTGCCAGGGCTGGGCTGGTGCCTCCATGCTGGCAGGGAGTCTCCTCTGTCATGGTGCTTCATCACCCCTAAGTGGTCAGCTTCATCCATGGGACCCAGGATGACTGGCCACTACAGCCACATCAAGTTAACAGAGGAAGGGAAGGACAGGCTCCTTGCCCCTAAAGGCACACAGCACTTTGGCTAGTATCCCAAGACTGCAAAGGGTTTTAAGGAAAGCTGGGAAATGGAGTATTCATTGCAGCCATTGTCCAAGTAAGGTTCTGTTACTATAGAAAAAGGGAGAGTTGACATTGGGTTTCCCAAACAGTTTCTGCCACATCCATCCAGGAAGAATCTAGTCTCCAAGTTGATTCTGAGCTAAACAAAACAAGCAAAGGATGAATCGTTAACAACATGAAACAGCATGAGCTGTAGCAACAGGAACAGGAAAGGAAAGTCTTGGGGAACAGGAATTAAGTTTGACCAAAGCAAAGGGTAGTAGTAGCTAAGGAAGTATGAGGCAGTAGGAGGTAATAAGCAGAATAAAGGTGGACAGGGAAAAGAACACCACAGAAGGCTTTGCAAAATAAAACTAATCTCATAACAACCAACAGACAAAGTCACTCTAATTAGAATTAGAATTGTCACATTGGTTTCATACCCTATGAATAGAGCTACATGACACAAGCTCATATTTAACAGTCTGTTTGTTCTTTGTAACTTTAGGTTTCAAGCTGCCCTGCCAACTCCACCAAGTCATCGTGGCTCGGTTTGCAGATGACCAGCTCATCATCGATTTTGACAATTTTGTTCGGTGTTTAGTTCGACTGGAGACACTATTCAGTATGTGAAAATTTGGGGAAAATCCCATTTCAGATCTCTAACTATTACCCCTGCCTGACTTTCATTAGTAAGCCTTTCACAACCATGAAATCGTCTGACATCTGGACATTTTGGTCCAGGAGTTGAGAATGAAATTCCCTCTTTACTAATTTGGGGATAGGGAGGAAAGAATAATAGCTTGTCACATTCAGTAGAATCAACTGCCAGCTTGTGGGAAGAGATCAAGTGACTTGTGCTTCAGCCAATGCATTTATGACCTCCTCTTCTTCTTCCTTTACAGAAGTGTTCAAGCAGCTGGATCCCGAGAACACTGGGACGATAGAGCTCAACCTGATCTCCGTGAGTCTGCCACGTCACCCCTAAGGGTAGCGGAGGGGAAGGGCTGTAATCTGAGTGGCAGAGACCTATGGCTTATTCATGTGCTCTTTATTTTAAAGTCTTTTGATTAGCTAGGAACTGGCCTCTAAAGGGCTATGGTGATGGTGGTGGTATACCCTCAAGTTGGTTCTGACTCACAGTGACCCTGTATAGGGGTTTCAAGGTTGTAAATCTTTGCAGAAGTAGAAAGCCTCATGTTTCTCCCATGGAGCGGCTTATGGATACAAACTGCTGACCTCGTGGCTAGCAGCCCAATACGTAACCCAGTGGGGTTCCTTATAAAGGGCTATAAGGCTCCATAGTACACTTTTACTTACAGGGGTATCCCAGCTACCTCCCTATTGATTCTGAAGCCCAAGCAAACATACCTGCTCCCTCGTCCTGTGAGCTCTGAGTTGAGAGCAAGGTGAAAGTAAGAAGGTCGCAGCTAGAAAAACAAACCGCTAATTAGCAGGCATGGGAAATGGTGCTTCTATAAAGAAACTCCTTGGATGAAAGTCAGCTTGGGTTTTGGAGCAAACTGCCATTCTTGGATCTACTTAAAATACTTTCAGAGCAAACTGCTTTTCTCTACTTCCTCCCCATTTCAAATGAAACTAACAATAGTAAATACATTTGCCTTAGATCATTATCCTCCTCATGTGTCTGAAACCCCAGCAAAACCTCTGAAATTATCATCAGTCCAAGTTAAGTTGGTGCACAATTTGAAAAAGAAAAAAAAAAAAAAAAAATACAATGAGGTGACAGAAAGCTCTCTCCCTTCAGAAGAAAGGAGTCAGATGGGATAGACTTTCCCTCTCTCCTGGCTCTAGTCTGATTTTCCTTGGCACTCCGTTGCAGCAGCATGGTCACAAAGTGATGGGCAGCACTTGGTGGGAATAGCATGTAACAGAGAGAGGGGAGCAAGCAAGGTGATATAGGACAGGCCTAGCGGACTGGTAACACTTTTTCTTGAGTTCTAACTTTGAAGACAGGTAGCAACTAAAGTATTTCACTCAGTTGTCATGCAGTGCCTTCTTTTCCAATTGAAAATATGTTTTAACTGGTTAGTTGCTCTTTAAACATGAGAAGCCTAGGAAACATCCCTAATACAATTATGAATATGCTGTATGGTCATTTCTGGAAACTTTAGCCTTTTTATCCTGAAATCTACCTGACCTCCTCACCGTCTGAACTCTGTAACTGTACTTTTTCTCTCTCTTCACTTTGTAGTTATCCTAATCATAGACTAATATCCTAGATCCCCTGTAGTTTTGTTCTCCTCTGGATATTTCCATATCCAGACTTAATTCCAGGTGGTGTTGCCGTATATGTCAATCTCTGGTTGCTGTCTGTTCTTCTTGGTTCTCAGGACAAAGAAATTCTCTTTAGTATATTTGGAGCATTGGCTTGGCTTTTACAAAGTCTAATTTCTGTTTATCCTGAAATTTTCTAATTTTACTGTATAATTGAAGGACAGCTTTGCTGGTTATATGATTCTTTGTTGGTAGATTTTTTCTTTCAGAATTTTCTATGTCTCCCCATTGCCTTCTTGCCTGCTTGATTTCTGCTGAGAAGTCAAGTTAATCTTACTGGTTTTTCCTTTGTTGTTAACATTTCACTTTTCTTGAGCTGCTTGCTTTCAGGATTCTTTCCTTATCTCTGATTTTGGGGAGTTTGATTATGATATGTCTTGGTAATTTTCTTTCTGTCCTGCCTGTGGTTCATTCAGCTTCTTGAATGCTTACCTTCTTATCCTTCATGATGTTAGGGATATTTTCTTCCAGCATCTCTTCAACTATCTTTTCTGAGGTTTTTTTGTTTCTTCTTATTCTGGTATTCCATGTCCCACATGAATCTTTTCTTCAGATCTTTTCATTCTTTTTTCTGATGGTTTTTCTATCTTAGCAGTATTGAGAGATTTATCTTCAAGCTCACTAATTCTGGCTTCCATTGATTCAGTGCTTCTCCTTTGCCCTTTCAGTGTATTGTCCATTTCTGATACTTTTGTATTGGTTATTTATACCTCTGTTTGCAGGTTTTGTATTGTCTCCAATGCTGTTATCTATTTTGTTTTGATTGTTCCTGTAGCGCTTTTCTGAATTCTTCCTTGTTTTCCTCAACTTTTCTGTGAAACATTTGGCTGTACCTCAGTAGCATTCTCCTGAATTCTTTTTCAGGTAGTTTCAGTGCCTCTTCTTCCTCAAAGGCATTTTCTAGCTCTGCCTCTTGGTCATTTGTTTGAGCCAGTCTGTCTTGTTTCTGTATGTGAACAGCAATTTTCTGCTCCTTTTTGGGCATTGTGGTGTTGTATTTGTATTTAGATGAATGTATGTTGGTGTATTCATAGGTACTCACCAATTGTCTCCTGGTAGGTGTGATCAGAAGATTAGCTTCTCTGTTCACTGTCTGTACAGTTCAATTCAGAGTGGTTTTAGCAGATGTTGATTGTAGTCACAGCAGCTGGTATTGGCTCTTGAGCAATTAGTGGGGTTGTAGAGGGTACTGCTGTGGGCATGACTATGGCTTGGCTGTATGGCTGCAGTTGGTGTCTTCTGTCATGTGATGCAAGAAGAAGGAACACAAGCAAACAAAAAGCCCACACTTTGTTTCTGGTAGGTTTCTGCAAGATGTATATACTTTCTCATCTATACAGATGTTCACGAACTTTTGAGATGGCTGCAGTGGGATCCATCAGCTGCCATTGCTCATCAGTCTTCTTGTTTCCTGCCACATCTGTTAAACTCTCTCTCCCAGTAAGCACTTGAGCCACTTTTCTATCCATTCCTCTGGAGCACAGAGATCCAGGACCATCCTTTGTATCTGTCTTGTCCAGTTTTCAACATCCTTGCTGCAGAGAGCCCACCAGCCTTTCTGCCCAGTCCACCATCTTTCTCCACCTCTTTTATCATTTTTACTGGAGAACCTGTTCATCCAAGTAGCCTTTTTATAATTTTTACTGGAGAACCTGTTCACCCAGGTCCCACCTCTGTCTATATTGGCCTGCCTGAGACCACTCCCACTCCATGTCTGCTGAGAAACACTTGTCCACGGGCTTTACTTCTGGCATGTAAGTTCCGCGAGGTCCCACTCTGGCCATCTTTATGCAGGGTGAGCAGCACCTCTCAGATTGCCCCTTGGTGCACAGGGGCTTCAGCTTGGACACCACTGGTCACTTGGGAACAATGATAACATTCTGATACCCAGTTCCTGTCCCAGACCCATTAAGTCAGACTGATTTAAAGTCCTCCAGGCCATTCCGAGGTAGAGCTGTGGAGGAAAGCCACTGGTTTAAGGCTGTGCATACCCCCAAATTAGCTCCTGCTGTGACTGTTCTGAGGCAAAGACCATTGAAAATGCTCATTCGTGTGATCTCTGGAGTTCAGGTTTCATGTCCTTGGCCAGTCTATTGACCTACAAAATGCTACTCCAGAAATCAGGTAGAAAAAGGTGTGGTTTAGTGCACTAAGATCGTAGCCCTTGATTGTTTTTCCTAGTACAAGTGAGTCTTTCAGAAAAATAGTCAGGGGCTTAAATAGCCTTTAGTTTTAAAATCACTCATTCAGCTGACTTGAGGGGACTTGTGGTAGGGCAGTGGTTAATGCTCCCAGCTGCTAAGCCCCTGGCCCTGTGCAGGAGAAAGAAGTGACCACCTACTCCCATAAAGACTGAAAGCACTGGAAGCGCTCTGGAGCCATTCTGAACTGTCCTATGCAGTTACTGTGAGTCAGACTCAACCTGAGGGCAGTGGGGCTTTTGTTTCGTTTGGTTTGGAACTGACATGTTTTTTCTCTCCCTCACAGTGGCTCTGTTTTTCTGTACTTTGAAGTCACAGTTCATCTGCTTTACGGCTTTTCAAGACAGAAAACCAAGGACTAAGCTTCTGTAGCGAAATACTTTTTATATGGATCTTGAAATTATGGAAGCACTTATTTAAACTGATTACTATAGCTGACAATAATGATAGTCTGAGATAGCAGAATTTACAGAGATCAACATAAAAGATTTGCATAGCATAATAAGAAATGCAAAGGCAGTCGCTTAACCCTGGGTATGCTTTAATCTGTAAATAGTGTATACACTTTTTACTTTTACACATTTCCCTGTTGATAGCAATACTAAATCAGGAATTGAACAACAGTGCAAACATTATGTCATTCTTAAGAGACACAAGACCCTTGCTGGGAATATTGAAAGCAAACTCTAACAGTGCAGCAGTGGTCTCCACCAAACAGCAGCCCAGGGTTCGTCACTTCCCTGGGGTAAAATGGGAGAAATGAGGCATCAGAAAAATCTCATCAAGACATCAATACAGCCCAGGTGAGAAATCTTACCTCCACAATTCAGGTTAAACAAGAGACATGTTTTACATAATACTGACTGGTAATAGTAATTCATTCTGCTCAGATGCAAGTTTCTAGAGCATATCTGGCCTCGTGCATTTAGTGTTATAAGTATTGGAGGGGCTTCACTCTTGATCAGCTGAAACAGCATTGAAGCCAGGTGTCTAGATTGATCGTACTGAAGGCCCAAACGCTGTTTGCCGCCTTAACTTACAACACAAGCTTGACCACCTGTGTCAGTGCTAAATTAGGAGACATCATAAAAGGGTTCTTGTGGAAACACAAGCTCACTTCCTGGCTTTCTCTTGAAAATGTGAGTAATGTTATAAAATTACTTGCCTTGTTGCCTTACCTTCCAGGTGTATTGTGAAATAAAGAGACCTGTGCAACCACTCCAGGCTGCGTGTTCCTTCCTGGAGGGGCCTCAGCGGTGACTTATAAGCACACACTTTAACAACGTGGCATACCACTCCAAGTTCACATGATGAGAGGAGAGAGCATATCACCTATAATTAAAATGTGGAACAAAAAATTTCAGAATCCAAATAAGAAGCTCTGATATTTAGTTCATAAAGTAAGCTCAGCTTTCATTTCTACTGTTTGGGGTCTCCTGAGGAGCCCTGAGCAGAGACATGGGCTTGCCTTAGGAAATCCCCTGCTTTACCTGCCACCTAGGTTTCACTTGGGTCAATGTCCATGGGTGTGAAGAACAAGAAAGGGTTCTAAGGAAACAAACAGATTGAATCATGGTTGACTACCAGGGGTACTTGAGGAAACACAGAAAATGGGCACATGCAGTCCTAATATTTCATGAAAAGGTAAAATAGATTTCCCAAGCTCAGCTAAATTAGTTTGAGGTCTTCCTATTAACTAGCAGTTTTAGTGTGGAGGTACATAGAAATCTTAATCCACTAGAGTATGATTCTATTCCTCCACACAGGGTTAGAGATAGAGTTAACACAGGTAATCCATGACTGAAATTTTTTCAAATTACAATAATCCACACTTTCAGTGATGATCATCTGGAGTTTTTCTGTACATCTTATCACTTGTTGTTGTTGTTGTTAAGTGCCATACAGTCAGTTCCAACCCATAGCGACCCTATATAGGGTTTCCGAGGAGCAGCTGGTGAGCTTGAACTGCTGATCTTGCAAACTGCTTTGCAGTCTGGCGTATCAACCTGCAGCGCCACACCAGGACTCCATCTTATCATTAGTGATATATTATTACATACAATGCCGCAGCCAAGTAATTTGCTGATATTCTCAGATATTCCCTAACAAATGAGATGTTTAAAGTCAAATTTCAAATGGACAGATACCAGTTATAAAAGGTGATAATGAAAACTGAGGGGGGAAAAAAATATCAGAAACTAATTTCAAGAGTCATGAAGACTGAATGCTGTCGTAAATCAGGGGCTGGCTGTTAATGTTGGTACTGATTCAGGATTGAAGGTGGGCCACAAAGTCATTCAAGTTCAAGGGAAAAAGGGAGGGTGGGAACTAGAGTGGCTGATGGAAACACCAAGGAGACGGGAGTGAGGTCAGAGGGATCTGAAGGTAGATGCTGAACAAAGGGGAGGAATCTTCAGAGACTAGTTATAAAGGCGTGAGGGATAAAGGTTAGCTCTCTAGATGCACACTGCTTACCGCAGTGCCGAGCACCCTGCCCTCTGCTGCACTTGTCAGTCGAGCTGACCTAGTTTACAGCTTCATATATACAAGGCTACTTGAGTCTCAGTATAAAAAGAGAATGTAAGAGGAAAAGAGGCAAGGTGGCAGACTAGGCAGGAACAAGTCACAGATCCTCTACGACAAAGATACATGAAGCTCAAATGAAACAGATGCGGATGGTAGTCGTGGAGCCCTGAGCTTCAGATGAAGGGATAGAGAAGTGGATTGAATGTCTTCACTAGGAGGATGCATCAAAGGAGACAGTCCAGCCACCACACAACCATTTAAAACATTCAAGAGTGGCTTTAGCGACAAGAGACTTGGTGGTCCAGAGACTTACCAGTGAGTGATTCACGGAGATAAAGGTGTGATTATTCTTGTTCCCCACATGGGTGGCGTGCCTCTCCCTGCAGTGGTTAACACCCAGTGGTGAACGCTGCAGTGCTGAGTCCCATTGGGGTGAGTGAAGAGCTATCTGCCCAACCACGGTGCCTGGATCCTACTAGCCCTCACTTGGAGAAGCAGCTGAACGACGATGGAAGGGGAGATGGGTGACTTGTGTTGGCCAGCCAGGCACAGTGTGACCATTTTGAGCTTTTCTGGAAAAGCTTTCTAAAGGCAGAGCAGCCTGGTGATGCAGAGGCACACTGTTTACGGGCAGAGAGAAAGGGGAGGTTTTTCTTGTACCCAACATTACCCTGGTGACCAGAGGAGTGGCCTACCCCCATTTATACACACAACTTCAGCAGCCCCATGAAGTGAATCACGCAGTTGTGACCTGCATCAAAATGAGTTGGGAGCTATCCCCACCAAGTACGGCACCTGAATTCACTTGAGGCCAGCTCCAGACCTGCAGAGCCAGTTCTGGACAAGATGCAACTCTTGCCCCCAGCTGCTCTCTGGAACAGAAGAACCTTGATCCCAGCTCCCTTAGGGCTTGCATTAACTACTTCTGAATAGGGTGCCCAGAACAGAAAACCCCTAGGCCCATAGGAACTCTTATCTGGAGCCAAGCACCAGTGTCTCATCCGTTGCTCACCTACCACGTGAGCGCCTGTGCTGACAGAAAGCCTCAGGATTTTCTCCTATTGGGGTCTGGCACCTTTTCCTTTCCTGGTTTTTGTTTATTCTTTCTTCTCCTCCTTCCTCCTTTTACCCTCCCTTGCTTTTTGTCCTATCTCCATCTTCATTTATTTTTTCTTCACTTTCTCTTTCCCTCTTTTTTGACTCTTGATTTCTCTGGCCTTTTATCCTTCTCCCTGATTGTTCTCCATACTTTTCTTTTAATTTTCTCTTATTTTCCTATTCCATGGTTTTTATTTTCTCTATTTGCTTATTCTTTGTCTAGCTGTTGCTGGATCCACCCCCACAACATTTTTTTTCTCCATTGTTTGCTTTTGCTTCTTTCTTTAGTGTGTGTTTCTTCTTCGCGACTCACCTGATGGGGAACAGCAACCGTGCCCATACAGCATAGCCACAACCGTACCTTCTGTAACCCCACACACTGGTCAAGAGTCAACACAAGCTGTCACACAGCTGATCAACAACAACATCAGTCACATCCATCCTAAACTGAGCTGCACGGATGGTGAACATAGAATGGTGCACACAATCCCATTCCCTAATCACAGCCATCAGGAGGCAGGGGCTTAGTGCCTAAGAACACATCAACGGAATCATCAAAAACAAAGAAACAAGACAGAGTGGCTCAACCAAGTGACTTAAAAGCAGTGATAGGAAATGTTTGGGAGGAAAAGAAGGCATTGAACTCCCTGAAAAAGAATTCAAAAGAACGGTATCGAGGTACCTTCCAATGATTGACAGGAAGGTTGAGGAAAACAAGAATGAGTTTAGGAAAACACTACAGGAACAAACAAACAAACTAGATAAAGGATTAGAGGTAATCAATACAAAACCTACAAATAGAAATCCAGAAGATTAAAACTAAGATTTCAGAAATGGACGCTACATTGAACAAAGAGGGAGACCTGAATCAATTGAAACCCAAATAAGTGATCTTGAAGATAAATCTCAATACTAGTAAACCAGAAAAATAATCAAAAAAGGAGAAAACCCAAAACCCAAGATTCATGTGGGAAATCATAAAAGGAATATCTTATGGGTGATAGGAATTCCAGAACAGGAAGAGACAAAAAACAACACAGAAAAAACAGTTGAAGAGTTGTTGAAAGAAAACTTTACTGACATCAAATGCAAGTAGTACTCAAAATGCTGAAATAACCCCAAAGAGTACAGACACCAAAATAAAAGAAAACCACCAAGCCATATCATAATCAAATCTCTAAAATCAAAGACAAGAAGGAATCTTGAGAGCAGCTCAGGAAAATAAAAAGTTACTTACAATGGAAAACCAGTAAGACTAAGCTCTGATCCCACTTCAGACACTACATAGGCAAGACACATATTAAATTCAAAGAAAAAATTGCCAACCAATAGATAGTAACGTACCCAGCAAAACTGTCCGATACAATGGCAAAACTGGACCATTTCCAGATAAACAGAAATGAAACACACTTGTACTAACCAGACCAACTTTACAAAAAAATACTACAGGGAATTCTTTAGACTGAAAACCAACAACAGTAGACAATAATAAGATTGACATGCACAGCAACACCCAGAATTTAATCCCGATACAGAAGTATCCAGAGTATTCAAACCTGGTTTCCTTTTGCCCCATTGCCAACTCTCACAATTCCATTGTCATGTGCTCCCTTTCCTCTCCCCCTTGGTTAAAATTCCTCAGTGTCTCCCGCCTTCAGAATCTAAAGCAAAAATTCACACCCCACCCCTTTTAGCAGGATCCATGTTCCAACTGGTTTTCTCTCCATATTCCTCATAAACCTTAGAGCACTGGTGCCCCAATGATGTGGCTACAGCATCAACTCTACTACAAAGAGGTGGAAAATATTAAGCGATACATCCAAGATAAGTTGTTGTTGTCAGGTGCCATCGAGTCGGAACCGACTCATAGCGACCCCATGCACAGCAGAACGAAACAATGTCCGATCCTGGGCCAACCTCACTACCGCTGCCACACTTGAGTCCATTAATGATGCCACCTGGCTGATCCATCTCGTTGGGGGTCTTCCTCTTTTTCTCTGACCCTCCACCTTACCCAGCATGACATCCTTCTCCAACGATTGTTTCCTCCGGACAATATGTCCAAAGTAGGAGAAAAGAGGCTGCATAAATTATCAAGCACAAAACAAGACAATATAGAAATGCAGAAAGAACATTTTTTAACTACATAATAACAAAATATTAACCATGGCTAAAAGAAATATACCTAGCTGTCCATAATGGTTGCCTCTAGCGTGGTCTTGGCACAGTGACTAAGCACTCGGCTACAAGCTGAAAGGTCTCCAGTTTGAACCCTCCAGCCGCTCCATAGAAGAAAGATGTAGCTGTCCACTTCTGTAGAGATTGGTAAGTGCCCTTGAGATGGTTCTGACTCACAGTGACTCTGTATAGGCTTCCAAAGAGTGTCTGGTGAGCTTGAACCACAGACCTTGTAGTTCAAACCGACTTTGCAGTCCAGCGCATTAACCCACAGCGCCACACCAGGACTACTAAAGAGTACACACTAGGATCACACTAGGACTACTTCAGATTACAGCTTTGGAAACCTTACAGGGCAATTCTGTGTCCTACAGGGTCACTCTGAGTCAGAAATGACAGCAACAGGCTGTTCAAAAAAGTCTTGCTTTGATAAAACAGTTAAGTGAAAAAACAGAAAGGTGGGGGAAAAAAACACATCATGCTCCAAATTGATTACAACGCACAGCAATCTCGTAGCAACCTTATAGCACAGAGAAGAGCTGAAACACATCACCAGATTTCTTCTGCACTCGAACAGCTAACCCTTCTGCTAGCAGGTGAGTGCTTAACCAATGCACCACCAGGGCTCCTTTTAATTTAAGATTAAGGACTATAAACCAGACATCACTTTTTCCTACTATTCACACCTTCCCTTTTCCTAGATTTGTGTAATTCTTTACTGAGTGTCTTCATATACAATATTACGTAACAACGCCATGTATGCAGAGATGTAGTATTACATTCCACACCTTAGGAAAACAAAGCTCTAAGGGGCCAGGTGTTTGGGGCAGATGATAGATTGGTAAATGCAGAAGCCCTAGTTAGAGTCCACATTGTATTTACTTCCTATTGAAGTTCTAAGACCATGTTGTTACAAATTACCACAATTCAGCAATTTACAACCGCGTTATCTCCTGTTCTGTAGACAGCATCCCATGGTCTCACTGGGCTCTGTCAAGGTGTCAGCAAGCTGCATTCCTTGCGGCCTGAAGGAGAATCATTTCCGGACCCTGAAGGAGAATCATTTCCGGACCCACTCCAGTAGCTGGGAGTGCTGTTCCTTGGCTGGAGGCCTGAGGGCCTCACTTCCTGTTGGCTGCCAGCCAGAAACTCTTTTCAGCCTCTTCAGGTGGCCCAGATTCCCTGGTTTGTGGCTGACTGATCAGAACCAGCAGTGGCCACTTCAAATTTCTGACCTCCTTTTCTGCCTCCCTCTTCTGTTTTTAGGGGTTCCTGTAATTACATTATGTCCATCCAACCCAGATAACCCAGGGTACTTTCTCTATTTTAAGGTCAGCTGATTAATAATCTAACCCTTCACCTGGAATAGTGTTAGACTGAAAACAAAAAAAAAATGCGAAAGAAGTTTTAAGGGCAGGGTGCCCTTGAAATTCTGTTCACCAACATGTCCTGTCAGTCAGTCCATATTGTTACTATTTCTTAGTACTCTTAAAGGTATGCACATTCTGTCTTTCATCTACTTTCCTTGCTGGGATTTAGCTACTCAAAACAAAGCAAGAGCGACCAAGTGGTTTTTGATTTGTATCTTCAATTCACAAATTTAGTAACATCAATAAACAAAATGCATGGAGAATCTGTCTGTAAAACTGTCATCCCATAAATTAATGTATCTAACTCTATGAAGAACTTGAAATACAATGAAGACATCTAAGGCCCTAAAAAAAACAACAACAACCCAAAAAAACACCTTAATTACATATTGAAGACCACCCTGAAACTCATGAAGCATTTTCTTAAATACTTCCTATGTGGCTGATATGGAATTGTTACTACAGTAACTATATTTTCTAAGAAATCCATTATTTTTTCAGGTGGGTAAAATATTCCAAAGGTTTCTGGCTCTTAAACAAAGGTTGTTTATGACATCAGAAACCAAAGGCAACTGGCTGATATGGCAAATGCCTGTTATATGCAATTCTGCCACACATACACACAAAAAACTAAAACCAGTAAAAAGCTTAGAGACAAAAGTTTAACTTTATTACAACTGTTTTCAAGTCAGCTATGATTTTGACAAACATTATAAGTAAGTCTAATTTCCAAGATACAAAAGACAATAAATACAGACTCAAATTCATCCTAAAGACAAGATTCTAAATCTAACTAACTGCAGTGTAGCTTAGTTTCCATATTTCAAATATATATTTCTTAAGATGCTACAAGAACTTACGTAATAAAGTTTATTGCTCACTAACAACCAACTAGAAGTTCTTCACTGGCAATATGCCAAGTGGGCGGCACCTTTGACCCTTCACTTGAGCCCCTTGAGGGTCCCCAGGTGCTTGTAGACAATCAGATGGTGCCAGGATGGCACGGGTCCTTTCTGGCAGGACGATTGCTACCAGGGCAGATGCTGAACACACCAACTAAACAGGCCTAGAAGCTGACTCTCCCATCAGCACAGCAAACGGCCCTCAATTTCTTATAAGAAATGGAACGGTTGGTGTGGCACACTGTCTTTCGTTGTGCATTCAGGAACACCATTCCCCAGCACCGCACAGCCCACTTACGTACAGGCTCCGCTTCCCGGGCTGAATGTCCTCCACAAAGAGGAATTTTTCAAACCTTCATTTTCTTCCAATACACATTCTTCATTGATTTCAAGCTACATATACTATCATTAAAGTAAGTCTTGTGAAACTTCCTTCCAAAAAGTCATCAATGTATTACTTCTTAGTGATAACAGAAATTATTTCTTCATTAACAAATATTCTGTAGCGTTTCAGGCCAAGCTCCTTTGTCTTGGTTTAATTCTTGGGTATAGCTGTAAGAAAGGTTAGAAACCATTTATACAAGAATACAAGAATACAAGGGTGTAACAACATCTCAGGAAGCACTGGCAGGGAGTGAATTTCACAGGAAAGTATTAAACCTAATGGGGGCTCTGCCACATATGGTCCACAAAGATTCTCATCTACCAGCTGCTATAATCAGCCACTCCGCAAAAGGCACTTCAAGGTCATAGGAGCCTATAACTGTGACAATATCACCTCTCAGGAATATAAAAACTCTGAACCATATCACTCCAAGATAGAACTAAGCATGAACTCAATTCCCAGAGCTTGCTGAACAATACATCAAGCTTAACAAGAAACACAAAGTGTTAAAGGTGATTTACAATATATTATAAGCTCTAGCTTCCATCACTAGAAAAGAAACATGAGAAATTCAAGTCTCATTTAACTTTAGTTAACAATAGCCATGGCATTGTGTCAAGGGAATTGAGACTGTAAGGAATAAAATGTCTTAGACGAAAAGTCCACATTTGTAAGGCAGCTGTTTTTGATTGTGGATTCTAAGGGTTTGAGGTTTTTCATAAGGAAAGCTGGAAGAGAGAAGGGCATTTGTGAAGGTCATGAGATCTCCAGACTAGAAGTCAAGAGCAAATCTAGCTAGTTTTCAACTGACAAAACAAAACAAAAAGACCTCTTCCCCTTAACAAACAACCAACCAAACAACCAAACAAAGGTTTGTTAAAAGAAGTTGTTGCTGTTGTTAAGTGCCACGGAGTGGTTTCTGACTGAAAAACTGGTGGATCAATGTTATATAAAGGATTGTTTTTCTAGCTGAGAAAAGATACTTAGCCAACACAATCTTTCAGACATGCCTGGCCCTCTGACTAAAAATTCAGCGTGCATACACTTTCCTTTTTAAAAAAACCTCAAAAGAAACTGGGGGTGGAAAGCAGGTTTGTACAGAAGCCACTCCAACCCAGTGAGGAGTTCCAAAACGTTCACCTAAGAGTATTTACATGTGGGGTTTACTAACTAAGTGCAGGAACCACATGGCAGTTAGTGCAAAGCCCCTCTCTGACACACGAGCACACCTCAATGTTGGAATAACTTACTCCCAACAAGTTGCGTGGAACATATCCCTCCTTCTCATTCAGGCGTGCCCACCACCACTCGATTTCATCCTCATCTTCCCTGCGGATGATTGTCATGCAGTCTCCTTCTCTCATGGGCAGCTCGTCATCATTCTGAGGTTCATAATCCCAAAGTGCATAAATGACTCCTTTATTCATGATGCCCATCTTCTCCTGGACTCCTGAAATCAAGACAGTAACATACAGTAACTCAGAGTATGCTGTTCTAAGAACTTCAGCTATGTAAATATAAACGGGAATAAATGGGCACATGCTGGAATGTCAGATCTACATGAAACATCCAACGAGTCCATTTCCCAGAGAGTGAAGAGGAGTAGAGGGCCAGCAGGGTACAAGGAGCAAACAGAAGACAGTTATGTACACTACCAGCTTTAAAACAAGTCTCAAAAATAATAAGCATAATAAGCATCCTACACATTAAGTTTATCTCAAAACTGGTCTTACTCAGAATATACAACTTTTCCAAGCCCAGGAATTAGAAGTCCAAGGACTTAAAGAACAGACTGAGTACAGGATATTAAAAAAAGTGAATGATGTGTCTGTCAGATTTCAGCCTGCTCTTTAGTTTAACAACCAAGGGACTCTGAAAACACTACTTCTTTACCTAAAACTTAAGAGCACAGAAAATATCTGAAGTGTTTTGTCAGTCAGTTCAAGTGGTGGTTCTGTAGCATTAAGAACTGGACTGCTAAGCACAAGGTTGGTTGTTCAAACCCACCAGCTACTCAAAAACACTATACAGGGTAGGGTCTCTATGAGTCGGAAGTGACTCCACAGCATTACCAGCAACAATCGCCAATTGTCAAACCAAGAAAAAGAAAATAAAATTACTAAGTGCATTGTTGTTGTTAAGTGCCATGGAGTTGGTTCTGACTCACAGAGTCTATGTATAGGGTTTCCTATGCCTTAATCTTCAACGGAAAGAAAACCTCATCTTTCTCTCTCAGAGCGGCTATTGGCTTGAACAGAGGACCTTGTGGTTCGCAGTAGAAATGACACAAAATGTACATACAATGTACACAAAATGTACAAACAAGAATAAGAATTCTAAAAGATATGCCTTAATCTTCAACGGAAAGAAAACCTCATCTTTCTCTCTCAGAGCGGCTATTGGCTTGAACAGAGGACCTTGTGGTTCGCAGTAGAAATGACACAAAATGTACATACAATGTACACAAAAATGTACATACAAGAATAAGAATTCTAAAAGATACTGAAATCTACAAACGGGGGGTGGGGTGGTGGTGCTTCAAATATCTACTTATTATCACAGTTAACATATATTAAAAGTAACTACCTAAGTTTTATCTGTCTTCATTACACCTTCCAACAACCATCAATTGGCAGCCAATATGAGGGGGCTTCAAAAAGCTCATGGAAGAATTCCACTATCTTTTAATTCTATTTTTCCATGACCTTTTTGAAGCCTCTCATAAGAGCAAAGCAGAAAAGTTAAGGAATTAAACTATAAAGTCCTGAGCTTACTCATAAATTTGGATTTAAACACTATTATTATTTTTACTTTTTTATTTAAGAAAAAAAGAAAACAGGAAAATATATGCTTACCTTCCAATATTAGATTTTTCAACTTTTTGAAACATGTAGAACATACAGAAACTGTTTTAAAATTAATTACCGAGAGGCAATAATGTGATATCTGATTTATTATATATTCTAAACAGTTAACTTACTGAAGTCCCCTCGAAACATATACACTCTTGGTATCTATGATAGACTATAAATAAACCAAACATGGTGCCATCAAGTTGATCCCCACTCACTCTGGCCCAGTAGGACAGAGTACAGTTGCCCACAGTTTTCAAGATTGTATCCTTACAAAAGCAGATTTTTGTACCTTACGGCACCGTTAGAGAAGCTGGCGGGTTCCAACAGCTGACTTTTTGGTTAACAGCCAATCTCTTAACCACTGTGCCATCAGGGCTCCTGTATTTATAATTGCTCTTGTAGTTCAGTGCCAGGAAATCAGTTCCAAACTCACAGCAATCTTGGAGAGGGCTTCTAAGGAGCAGTTGGTTGGGTCTGAACTGCTGATCTTGAGATTAGCAGTTTAGTGCTTAGCCTATAGCGTCACACTAGGGCCTCATACTTAAAATTAAGGGTCTCTAATTCTCTCTTTTTTTTTTTGGATTAAAAAAAATAAATAAAAAATTAGGGACCAGCATAGTGGTTACGAATCGGGCTGCGAACCATAAGGTCAGCAGTTCGAAACTACCAGCCGCTCCGCGGGAGAAAGATGAGGCTTTCTACTCCCGTAAGGATTTACACCCTCGGAAACCCTGTACAGGGTCGCTATGGGTCGGAACCGACTCGAAGGCACAACAACAACAACAACAATTATAAATATGAGGTCCTAGTGTGATGCTATATATAGGCTCAGCATTGGCTGCTAACCATAAGTTCTGCAGTCCAAACTCATCAGTTGCTCCTTGGAAACCCTAAACAGGGTTACTATAGGTCAGAACCAACTCGAGCACTTAGCAACGACAACAAAAGTGTTTTTTTTAAATCCTATGCCATATTTAAATATAGCAAGAAGACCAATGAATTAAATATATCACAACTAGCATTCCAAAATTTAACAGAAAGTAATCACATATATTAACAATAAAAACTAGCAGCTAGGGCAGATGACAAACAGAACTTGAGGTTTATCTATCTGTCTTCCTCTGACCACCTACCTCTCTCCCTTCTTTCCAAACACTTGAAAACAAGTCTAGTGAGGCCGAGGGACAAGTCCTCTAACATCAAACTGAAGGAAAAACTAACTCCAACTTCTAAGCCTTGAAAAAATTTCCCTTGAAAATAAAAATGCCAGCTGCACAGATCCATCGAAGCTTCAAGTCCATTTTGCTCTCAGTACAGATCTGGTGTTCTCAGTCAGAATCACAAATTCAAAATCAAGAAATCAAACCAGCAACACATTATGTGTTGTCTTTATTTTACTTTCTAACAAGTTTTACTCAGCAGGGCTCTTACACTGACACTGAATTTCCCTTGTAGCTGGACAAGTCCCCGATGGTAGCTGTTTCAAGGGATGAACACAAAAGCTGCAGTGGTATGTCTGGTTTAGGCTGGTCTCCTTCCAATGTCCAACACAAAAGACTGCTTCTAAACCACAAAAATACTTCTCAAATGATAACATAAAGATACAGATAAATGAGTGCAGTATCCGAGACAGTGAGTGCTGAGTCCCATACCATAGAGAAACTGGGAGCACTGCGAGTAGCCCTCCTCCATCTCCTCGCACTTGTCCGCAGCGGTCTGCATGTCACTGTAGGTCATAGCAAATACAGCAGCTCCAGACTCCACCAGAAACTTACACACTTGGACATTGTTACACGAGGCAGCACAATGTAATGGGGTCCTGGAAAACAAAACACACCAAGGCCAACAAATGGCACCTGCTACAGAGAAAATTCTTAAACCTTAAGTCAAAACTATCTACTGAAGTCTTCTTAAAACCAAACAATAGTTTAGCTTACCTAGGAAGGAAAAGTTGGCTTTGAGCATTACGCTCCTTTAAGATCTTTCTATGTGGGATCAAAATGAGAACAGTAACTTAACTCAAAAGATGAGGTAGAAAACGTATATTAATGGGACAATAACAACACAAAAAAGGAGCGTGAGAATGGTTGCACAACTTGAAATGATTCAGTATCACTGAACTGTACACACGGAAACTTAAAAAAATTAGTAATGAGAGAAAGTCATTTGATATTTTTTTATTATAGATCCTAAATTGCCCAATAAATACGTGTTGGTTATGTGCTGTGGAGTCGGTTCCGACTCATAGTGACCCTGTATAGGGTTTCCGAGGCTACAAATCTTTATGGGAGCAGAAAGCCTCATCTTTCTCTCACTGGTAGTTTTGAACTGCTGACCTTGAAGTTAGCAGCCCATCTCATAAGCACTATGCTACCAGAGCTCCTTATATTTTGTTCAACAAAAATTTTAAAACCAGGATTGAGACTGGTAGATCCCTAGACTGTGGCCCTTGGCCACTCTCCAAGTGTGGAACTGAACTCACCCTGAGGCTCAATTTTCAGCACAGTAATAGACAGATATGTAGGCAACAACAACACTGGTGAGGTACACACACAACAGAATAGTTAACCATTCAAGATTAAAGGCCAACATTTCCCAAGGACAAAGTGAGAAGGGTTGGGAATGAGAGAGAAAGAATCAGAAAAATGGGACAGGCAATGCTACACTGAGGGGACTCCCATCACTGAGATGAAACTGAGTAGGATTTGTTACATGTAAAAGCAGAGTTTATGATCTGCTCTGTAAGTTTTCACTCAGTTTACAATAAAAAGTTAAAATAACAAAATAAAACATTTTTTAAGAGAAACTTACTGAGTCTATTAACCACTATCTACTGTGCCCTTGCTTCTGAAAATCTCCTACATAGTTGTGTGTTGTTTCTCCACCAATTAAGTACACATCAAAGAATTACAGCCACACAGGAAACATGTTACAGACTTCTGGACAACACCAATGCACAAAGAAGGGTGAGAGGAGTCAAGGAAATGAGTAAAATGCAATGGAATTCCTATCATGATCATAAACAATGCAGTTGTTACTGTTAAGTGCCATCAAGTAGTTTCCAACTCACAGTAACCTTGTATAGCCTTTCCAAGGAGTAGCTAGTACATCTGAACCACCAACTTTGTGGCTAGCAGTCCAGTGCTTATCCTACAGTGCCACACTAGGACTCCTAATCATACAGAATGTTGTTGTTATTGTTCAGTGCTGTAGAGTCAGTTCCAACTCATAGTAACCCTATATATGGGTTTCTAGTGCTCAATTGTCCAATGCTTATCCTACAGCATATACCAGAATAGAAACTGACTTCTGGCAAGATGGCAGACTAGGCAGATATACTAGAGTACTCTCTACAACAAAGATGTGAGAGACAAAATAAAACACACACAGATGAAAATTCTGACACCATGAACTTCAGAAGAAAGGTTAGAGAGGTTGATGGAGTGCTTAGTGGGAGGAGAGGCTGAGCAGGGACAGTGAGAGAGAAGACTGACTGGTTAATGGCTGTCCAGACATGGCTGGGCCATCTTGTGAGGTAGCAGAGGAAGGTCTGGAGAGCAGATCCTCAAGTGCGATTTCTTCTTCTTTCCCCATGTTCCCCTGGTTAAAAAGTGTGGCCAGCTCCGCCTTCAGTCTACCCCATTGCAAACTCTACTCTCCTGGTGATCAGAACCATGTGGTTGGCACCATGTCAGTGTGAGGTGGGGGCTGGCTGCCATCACTTTAAGGTGCTGCTTTGGTATTTGGATTCAGGTGGGTTTTGCTCCAAACCTACAAAACCCAAAAGCCACCAGACCAGCATGTAACCAGTCATGCTACTCTCAGCTTTCTTGTGATCCTAACAGACACTGAAACCAGCTTCATCAAGGGCCCCCAAAAACTACTTCCAGATTGAGTGCCCTGAACATAGATAACGCTGAGGCCAATAGGAACTCCATTTAGGGCCAGGAACTCTGCTGTCACATCCCTTCCACAACCATCTCATAAGCTCTTTGAATTGCAGGAGCCCCACAGAGATTTCTCCTCTATAGTCCAACAACTGCACTGTTTGTTTTTGCAAATACGCCAACTCCACAATGTCCCGGGGACAACAGGCAATTTTAGCTTTCATGAAAAAATGAGTGAATGGCTCAAAAAAATGACAAAGATGCAGAGCAGGAAAACATTTCTGAGGAAGAAAAGGCAATGGAAATAACTGAAAAATAATTTAAAAGAATGCTAGTTAGGTACCTTCAAAGGATCGATAGAAAGAATGAGGAAAGCAAGGAGAACACAATAAAAACTTTAGCAGAATCCAGGAAAGCACCATAAGAAGATATAAAATAAATGCAAAATTTGAAACAATACAAAATTTGCAATTAGAAAGCCAGAAGATTAATACTAAGATCTCACATATGGACAATACATTGAAAGGACAAAGGAGTAGATGCAAAGCAAGAGAAATCTGATTTATGAGCTGGAAGATAAATCTATCAATACTAGTGTGCTAAAAGAACAATCAGAAAAAAGAATGATGAAATCCAAAAAAAGCCTAAGAGTTACACGGGACAACATGAAGGGGAACACCTTACGGGTGACTGGAATTCCAGAACAGGAAGAGACGAGTAGCGAAAACTGTCAAAGGATTGTTGGAAGAAAACTCCCCGAACATCATGAAAGACGAAAAAATAAACATACAAGAAGCTGAACGAACCCAAACAGAACATATCCCAAAAGAAAATTACCAAGACATATTATAAGCAACTTTCCAAAACCAAGGACAAAAAAAAAAAGAATTCTGAGAGCAGTTCGGGAAAAAAGAAAAATTACCTTTGAGAACCAATAAGACTAAGCTTTGATTTCTCAGCAGAAACCATGCAGGCAAGACGGCAATGGGATGACATAAACAATACTCTGGAAAAAAAACTGTCAACCAAGAATCATAAAACCAACAAAGCTGTCCCTCAAATACCACGATGAACTTAGGATGTTTCCTGATAAACAGAAATTAAAGGAATTTGTAATGACCAGATCAACGTTGCAAAAAATGCTGAAGGGTGTTCTTTGGAGTAAGAACCAACATCAAGCAGCAGGCAATAACCTTAGATCACCAAGCATGAAAACAACACCCAGAACTCAATCCAGGTATATAAATATTTAAAGTAAAACAAACCTACAAGACTGAAAATAGGGAACCAGAGGTATCAATGTTTAATGAAGTCAACTACAAAGAAAAAAAAGGGAATAGTATAGATCCAGAACTTCCATATGGCAAGGAAGTCAAGTAGGTTTCCATATACAACAGATTGTTTTGAGCAGGGAAAAAAAATTAATAAACCACAGGGTAACATCAAAGAAAATACACCTGCACATCAACATTAAAAAAAGAGGCGAATCAGAGAGATTGAGTAAACATTAGCACAACAGAATTGAAAATAAAAACCCAAAAATAAAGTAAATGCAGTATAAACAATAATGTGGGACAAAGAATCAAGCAGCACCACAAAAACACCGGGAAACATGACAGGATACCTATTGATAATTACACTGAATGCAAACAGAGCAAATGTACCAGTCAAGAGACATAAAGAGCAGAATGGGTAAGAAAACAAGATCCCTCAATATATGCTGTCTGCTGAAATGGACAGGTATTGGCCATTTGAATCTGACAGCTCAAACATGGCAACAGTAGTGAGGTTGGCCCAGGAATGGGCAGTGTTTTGTTCTGCTGTGCATAAGGTCGCTATGGGTCGGTACCGACTTGATAGCACCTGACAACAACAACAACAACAAGAGACATAACAAAAAGATGGAGACAGCCTACATGTCCATCAATAGAAGAATGGCTAACAAACTTTGGTACGTACATACAATGGAATACTATAAAATGTTGAAGAATTATGATGAATTTGTGAAACACCTCACAACAGGTTTGAACCTGGAGGACATTATGCTGAGTGAAATTAGTCAGACACAAACATCATAGGAGACCAATGTTGTAAAAATGTTTCCTTGATATAAGAAACAGTCTATGATGGTTACGGGGCGGGGAGGTATAATTATTCATGGGCTAGAGGGCAGACACATGCTAACATGGGTGACAGGGCAGGCAATATACAACAAGATGGAGATTAGCAGAGGAAAGATGAAGGTAGAGGGGGACACAGGGAGAAATGCAAAAGATAAAGTGACTAGAGGTAAACTTAAATGGAGGGGATTACAACTATGTAATGAAACAAAGTATATGATTTGTTGAATGTGAAACTGATGATCTGCTCTGTAAACCTTCATTCAATTCATAATAAAAAGTTAAAAAAAGAACAGGAACCAATGAATTGTACATAGGTCTATATTCTGACGTACTGAGGCTAATTATTTCTAATTATCCAATAATTCCTAAATTATAGGCCTTCACTCATATCACGTGCCTTTAATATCCCTTTATTAGCACCAACCCTAAACTACTAAACTGCAAATATGAACTTCTTTCTTCATCTAATTTTTTAAAAACCCAAATTGAAATAAATTTTACTGCACAAAGACTGCCAATTTTATTCAAACTAGAAAAGTGACTTCAAAATGCACACATTTGGATCTATTTTAAGCTACTGGTTAGATCAACAGTAAAGCTGTAAGAGTGCCAGTCCCACACTGCCCGAACACAGAAGGCAGGCTTGAGAATGTTCATCAGGCCCTGCGTTTGTAACACCGAGTTCCTTTTTCCTTTTTGTCTTTCCCTTTCCACTAATTCTCCTTGGGTGCTCATTGTTTTGAAAAGGAAACAATTGGCTTGGCAAGTCAAGCGCTGCTTTTGTGTAAAGGGAAAAGTTATAAAGAACACTAGAGTCCAGTCCTGCCTATTAAAGGACGACCTCAACATCAACCCTAGTTGACTGCATTCCTGTCAAAGGGCACATAGATCACATCTCCTGACCCGATAGTCAAATAACATTTCACTTCGCTCTCAATTGGTACAGTAGTAGGAACACTATAATTTCAAGAGCTTATTACTTAGATGGCAACTTTACCCCAAAACTAAGCCCTGGACCACCCTATGGCTAAGTTCTACTGTGACACATGAGGCCGCCATTAGTCAGAAAGGAAGTCAACACCCACTATATCAGCAGGATGCTATAAAATGGCATTGTGGGATAATGCACTGCACTGAAAGGTCAATTTGAACTGCAATGTTGGTTGTTCAAATTCACCAGTTGTTCCTTGGAAACCCTATACTATGAGTCAGAACCGACTAGACGGCACTTAACAATTTAACATACTGCCAAGGTTTTTAACACACTCAGAGGAAAAAGTTAAATACTGATAAGATCTTAATCATAAAACTATTCAGAACATTACTATTTTTGCTTTTATTCCTTTAAGTAATAAATGCATGCTCATGAAAAATCCAAATATCACAGAAATATATGAAGTGAAGGCCTGACCCATTCCCCATTCCAGATACTTATTAGTTTGGCAACTATCACTGAAGATTTCTTACTTGCCTGGCTTTTTTAATAGTGAAAAATTAAAAGCAATCTACACTCCCAGCATTAGAGAATCAATCACAACACATTCAGAATTTGTTTTACATATGCTTTGCTACTAAGCGAAAAACGTAGGCTACAAAATTATGTGTTATAAGCTCAACTACATTTTTAACAGCTTGTAATACAAGCTAGTGAAGGGAATATATTAAAATTCCAGTGGTGTTTACATCTACATTGTGGTGTGTGTGTGTTTTTTTCTTACTTCGTCCATCTTCCACAGTGGCCACACTTCAATTTTATAAATGTAAACTTTATAAAATTGCAAACAAGATGATTCTCTAAGCATTACTTATACCAAAAACAACAACAAAAACTGGAAAATATAACACAACAAAATATGTCAAACAAGAGGGAGAAAGGTCACATTAAATGAGTATAGAGCCATTTTATGAAATAATGAGGCTATTTTAAATTTTTATACAAACGTGTGTACAAGCAATTTTTATATATGTACCTTTGAGAATGTAATATATGACAATTTCTCATGTTAAAATATAAACTTAAAATATTAGAGTTAATATAATGTGAATTCAAAACCAAGCCCACGGCCGCTGAGTCACTTCCGACTCATACAGACACTATAAGACAGAGTACACTGTCTCGTAGGGCTTGGAGACTGGAGATCTTTACAGAAGCCGAGTGCCTCATCTTCCTAATGGGATTACAATGCTTTAAACAAAAGCAATACCCTAACTAGAAAAAAGTCAATTTTCTGTGTATTTTCACAAAGAAGAACATTATATATATATGGAAATACTGTGATTTATGATCCTCTTTGGAGAAACATAATGAACGTTTAATATATACATGTATACATGTGTACATGTGTATACAAAGAGCTCTGGTAGCATAATGGTTACGAATTGGGCTGCTAACCTCAGGGTCAGCAGTTTGAAACTACCAACTGTTCTGCGGGAGAAAGATGGGGCTTTCTTTGATTTACAGCCTCGAAAACCCTCTACAAGGTTGCTATGAGTCGGAACCAATTCCACAGCACATAACAACGATGTTTGTGTGTGTATATATATACACACACACACACACACACGCAAATATGTATTATGTTGTTGTTGTTAAGGGCCATCGAGTCGGTTTCGACTCATAGCAACACTGTATAGGGTTTCAGGGAGCAGCTGGTGAGTTTGAACTACTGAGCTTGTGGTTCAATGCTTATCCTACAGTGACACACACACACATATCTTGTTGCTAACTGCCATCGAGTCAGTTCACAGACTCATAGCAACACTGTGTAGAGTTTCCAAGGAGCGGCTGGTAGGTTTAAACCACTGACCTTACAATTCAAACCAATCTTGCAGTCCAGCGCTTATCTTACTGCGCCACACCAGGGCTCCATATATAAGTCTACCACAGGACTACAGCCCTTGGCCACTCTTCAGGTCTGGCACTGAACTCATTCCTGTGATTTAATTTTCAGGCAACATCAGTGAAGTACACACCCCATAAAGTGATGAACCATTTGAGATGAAAGGACAGCATTTACCCAAGGGCAGAGTTCAGAAGGGTTAGGAAAGGAGGAAGACTGGAAACAGGAGACACAGGGACGGAGTGGGATAAGAGATGACACACTGAGATGACTGCAATTATTGATGAAATGAAGTACACAAGGTTTTGAATCTGTAAACCTTTACTCAATTCACAACACATGACCAAAAAGAAAAAATAAAGAAAAAGGGAAAAGTATTTCCTTTGTTTAGCGTGAAGCACTAGTTTCACAAAATGTTCCATGAAAAATGGATTCCATGGTCAAATATATTTGGGAAATGTTGCAAATTATACTCCCCTTTGAAGAAACATAATGCACATTAAGTAATGGTGTTGTTGTTAAGTGCTGTAGAGTCGGTTCCGATCCATACTGACCCTGTATAGGGTTTCCAAGGAGTAGCTGGTGAGCTTGAATCGCCACCAAGCTTGCAGTTCAAACCAACTTTGCAGTCCGGCACATTTACCCACTGTGCCACACCAGTACAGTGAAATTTCTGAGAGCCTGAACTACACTGCTGGTTTGTCTGGGTTTCCCAAGTTTGACAGAGTGCAGTCTTACCAATTTTCTATTGCTCATTTTAGTAGAAAATACTTGCATTTTCTGTCCCTGGCACGTTTCCACCCCAGACTGGTTCCAGTTTTTGTGCATCTTACTATATTTTATACACACTGAAAAGTTCCAAGAGGATTAAGGGAAGTTGCTTAAACCACTATTGCTGTTATGTGCTGTGGAGTGGTTCTAACTCATATAAACCCTGTATAGCTAGCACTTCTCAAATGTGTTTCAGTATGATAACTAAACAGTGTCCCATTTCCTGACATTTCTTATTTTTCATATCATTTAACTACCACACTTTTTAAAACTTCCACAATGGGATGAATGCTCCATGGAGGTAAACTAACTCCTCAAAGCACAGTTCTCCCACTAGATTACAAAGCTGCTTTCCTCCTAACACATTACAAACACTGCTCATACCTAACAGAGGCTCACACCTGAGGTCTAATGGCGTGAACAGAAAAGCTTACCACCCATCACTATCAGCAGCATTCACGTTCACACCAAACTGCACCAGGAACTTGACAATCTCTGTGTGGCCAGCGCACACAGCATTGTGAAGCGCGGTGATGCCTTCATCGTTAGGCAGACTCGGGTCATCAACCTGAAACAGCAACGAGAAGGGTGAACAGCACGCAAATTTCTTGTCAACTGGACTGTCACTATCAACTGGTCAACAGAACAAAGTATAGATTCCTTAGACTTTTGTTTTGAAAAAATCAGAATTAAAACCTACAGGAACCAAGAAACCCTACCAAAAATAATTCTAGACAGAAAACAGAATAACCACATAAAGATGGTGATCACTATAAAAAGAATTTTTTTTAAGAAATTGAAGGACAGTACCAGGAACTATATCTTTACCATCATTTTTGTTTATTTATTCTCCCAACTTCCTACCACAAACTAGTTTCTAAGTTAACAGATATATTTGCCATGGAGAGGAAAAAAGGTCAACTAAAAATATTTTAAATAGTAAGCTTCTGAATAGCAGGAGCACACCTGTAATTTAATACCGTATAGTGCAAGCCCAGACCAAAGCAATTTTTAAATGAGCTTGTGGTTCCGTAGGATAAACACTGGACTACCAACCTTAAGGTTGCCAGTTTGAGCTCACCAGTCACTCTGTGGGAGAAAGAGGAGGTTTTCTGCTCCCATAAAGATTTATAGCTCCGGCAACCCTATACAGGGTTGCTAAGGATGAGTTAGAACTGACTAGAAATATACTGAAAAGAAATATACTCTAGACAACCCAAAGTAAAAATTTACAATCACGTCTTTAAAATAGCATAGTCTATTTTGGAACATGCACAAGAGAGTCTCTACACCAAGCTATTCCGCCAAAAGAAAACAATTTAAATATGTATTTAAATTCATTTTCTATTAGATTCATTTTCTATTAGAGATTTAAAACAACATGCAAGTCTCCAAGACCCTCAGAGGGAATATATGAGAAGGCATGTAAGCTTGCTGATAACTGTGTTGGTCTACATGTGAGTGGAAGTGGGAGAAAGGCAGCAACAAAGATATGGGCTTAGTTCAATCACGTTCCATAGACTCCTGTCGACCTTGAGATGAGAGAGAGAAGAGGAAGGGCTGGTTGGTCTCAAGTTTGGGGAGACTTGGAGACTCCTGAGCCCATGGACAAAGACCTAACCATGGAGGGCTAGAGCTGAGAGTAAAGCATCCAGCTGATATGAACTGAGGGGAAACGCACAAGAAAGCTCAAACTTGCAGCTAGTACCCATTTGACCTCACTTCAATGGCTTGATAATCAGAACTGGACTAGAAAAAGATTTTTTTTTTTTTTTTTAAATAAAGGAAACAAGTGTAAATTGGTATAATTTGATGAAACTGACCTATACTTATGGCTGTAGTAGCTCAAAATACTGAGAGGGAAGGACTCTTCAGATGAAGGACCAAACCTATCCCCTCTATACACAGGTTTGATAGGGACAGGCAACTTAAGACATTGGCTACCTAAAATGTTGTTGTTGTTAAATGCCGTCGAGTCAATTCCGACCCATAGCAACCCTGTGTAAGGTTTCCAAGGAGCAGCTGGTGAGCTTGAACCGCGAACCTTGCAGTTCAAACAGCTTTGCAGTCTGGCGCATTAACCCACAGCGCCACACCACATGAGGGGGAGCTATAAAGACAGAGTGGCTGGCTTACAAGTTTTCAAGAGGGTATTTAGTTTCTGTGTGTGTGTTGGGGGTGGGGTGGGTTTAGAATCCCCACTAAATAGTTTTCATCTTGTTTAGATGGGTCTGGTGAAAGATGGGGATAAGATTCATTGAATTCAACAGTGAGTAATTGTTAACATGACTAATTACAATTGTCACAACTGCAAAGGTAGAAGTTGTACAACAAAAGTGGGGGAGTAGTTAATCTTACATTCCAGGAAAAGAGGACCTTAGGACCATTAAGAGAGAAGAGTATGAGCGGAACGTGGGACCCTAACCAGAGAAGCAGCGACACCAGAAATGGAGAGATTGAGCAGCTGAGGGCTCTAGACTCATGGGAAGAGAAAAGCTGTGTGCTGGCAGCCAGGAGGCTAGCTTCCAGAATATGTTCTTGGGTTATTTAAATAATTATATATTCTTGGTTCTTTCTGTACAACAACAACAAAAAAAAAGGGGGGGGGGTGGTTCTTGATAAAAGAAGCAATCTATGATGGTTTTGGGAAGAGGAAATGATACATGTGCTAGAGGGTAAACACACATTGACATGGGGGATGGGGCAGGCAATATACAACCAGAGGGAAGTTGACAGAGGAAAGATGGGGGTGGCAGAAGACACAGCGAGGAATGCAATCGTTAAAGTGAATAAAAGTAAACACTGTAAATTAGTGGCGCGTGGAGGGGACTATAACCATGTAATGAGGCAAAGTATATGATCTGTTGAATGTAAAATTGATGATCTCCTCTGTAAACCTTCATTCAGTTCACAAGTTTAAAATACAACAACAAAAAAAAGGGTTCTGGCAAAACCAGTAATACATGTGCAGCACAATCAAAGAAGATCTATCTCATACAACATATACAGAAATGAACTCAACATTGAATAAAGATCTAAATGTAAAACCCAGATGTAACGATTATTAATGAAAAATTAGGGACAAATTTGGGATCTCTACTTCATAGCATGATTTACACTATTAAACATAAGTGAAAACACACAATTAGCATAAAGAAAAACACATGACTGGAACCTCCTAAAAATTAGACAGTTATTAAAAAACAAAACATGCAAGGTGTTCTTTTAAATTTTTTGTAATTATACCTCATATATAATTCTCTGTACAAGGTCAAATTCTCCCTCCAAAGATGAATCTAGAAGTAAAGCAAGGGGATTGAATTTCACCCTCATTCCATGAGCAATTCGTTCAGATCCAGTTTTACGTAAGTTTGTTCTTTTGCCCTGCAGAGGAAAGGCATGGAAAATTAAGGATCCTGGTCTAAACAGATGAGAACAACAAAAACAAAAGGGGAGAAACAACACCTAGCTAATAAAAGGAATTAAAAAATTATAAATATATATTTAGCACAATTCATTGACATATAAAGAACACAAATCATAATATTCAGCTCAATAAATTTTCACCAAGTAAACACACCCATGTAACCAAATGGGAGGAACTTAACTTTACAAACACTTAATAAAATTAAATTTGAGTAAGGAGCTGTGGTAGCGCAGTGGTTACATATCAGGCAAGGTCAGCAGTTCAAAACTACCAGCTGTTCCGCAGGAGAAAGATGAGACTTTCTGCTCCCATAAAGATTTACAGCCTCGGAAACCCAGTACAGGGTCGCTATGAGTCGGAACTGACTCCAAGGCACATAACAACAACGTTATTTAGGGGTCAGTTCCAACCCCAAATAACCCTGTTACGGGGTTTTTGAGGATCGACTGTTGGGTTAGAACTGCTGGCCTTATTAGCAGTCCAGAGGCTTATTCTACAGTGCCACATATACACATTCACAATAAAACAGTTGTCACTACATCAATTCCAACTCACAGAAACCCTACAGGCCAGAAAAATTGCTTTATAGCTTGCCACAGTTTTCCAATCACCAACCTTTTGTTATACAGCTAAATGCTTAACTACTGTGCCACCATAAGCAATGTGTGTAGTCTGATGTGGCAAGTAGGCTGGCTTTTTGTCGCATGTCAAAATTAGCCAAGAACAAATGATCTTTAAATTACTTATTTCAAGTAAGAAAAAAGAATCCCCCACTCTTAAAATTGTGCAAGAGTATAACTTGGAGTTCTGGTGTGGTACTGTAGAATACGCACTGGACTGCTAAACACAAGGTCAGTGGTTCCAATCCTCCCACTGTTCCTTGAAAACCCTAAACAGTACTCAACAAGAATAACTGGGAATTAAAACAGCTAACATTTATTGAATGATTACTCATTTGTGTTGCTATGAGTCAGAACCAACTCCAAGGCACTTAACAACAACAACATTGATTAAATGATTACTCATTTGATCCTCACAGAAACCCTATTCTCTCCATTTTACAGATGAATACACTCGGGCACCTAACCAGAATATGGCAGAGCTGGAATCCAGATTCTCAGAAGGCCTTGCTCTTAATCATTTCATCCCAAATGCCTCCTCAGGGAAAAGGGTATTATCACTGTAAATAATTAAGATAATTAGTCTGTCTTAGATACAGCAAGTAGAATCCTGCCAGTCGTAAAATGTTACCACTTTTAAGAAACTTAACTATACTTATACTTTTCATTTTTCACCTTTTTCTTTTCTTTTGGTCACCCCACCCCCCTTTCTGATACCAGTTTCAAAGTTTGGGGTATTAAAAATATGTTTCCTCTATACTTAGAATGGACTGCTGATGTGGTGCTTCAGGTTAATGTGCTGGGCTGCAAGGTCAGTTTGAACCTCAAGGTCAGCGGTACAAGCTCACCAGCCACTCCTCAGAAATCCTATACAGGGTCGCTATGAGTTGGAACAACAACATACTTAGAATGGACTCCTGGTATGGTGCTGCTGGACCAGCACACGATTGGGAACTACAAGGTCAGTGGTTCACATCGACTTTGTAGTCCAGTACATTAACCCAAAGGGCCACACGAATGGGTTAAAAACCAAGGCAAAATTTTAAGCACCAGATCTAACTTGCTTATAAAAGAGATTTCTTAAACATATCCAGCCATGTGGAAATATTTTCTAAAGTGTCACATGCCACACACATTGTTTTCATTTTAGCTCAAAAAAAAATGAAGACTGCTGAATGAAAAACCTTAAGTGGCACACAATACATTTTAGAGTTTGCAATAGCTAAAATGTTGTTTCTTTTAAAAAGAAAAGAAAAAGCAATGTGGACATTACATGCCTGCGGGGAACATAATTCAGAGGTGCAGGAACGCCTGTTAGACAACATGCATGATAGTGTGACAGACAGAGAAAGAAAATCACTTTCCTACAAAAAGAGTCTTAAGAAAGGATGACACTGTTTTGTAAATTGGTTTCCTTTGTCCTTGAAAAAGTGAAATTTTTTTTTGGCACACAAGAAACAGGGCGGGAGAATAACAAAAGTAGCTACAGTGTGCACTCGGTTGGGCCAGTATGGGTTAAAACTTCCTTCTTTTGTCCAATGAAAGAAGCGAACCCCAGAATTAGGAGATACAAAGTTATTTAAAAAGCATTAACCTCAGTGTTAAAGCCCCTTTTCCTATAATCGTTTACTAAATATAATTTTACAGCAAATGTTCACTCTAACCACAAAGTTCAAGTAACTTTTATCTTTGAATAACTATCACCTCATCTAAGTTATAACGAGTTGAGCACAAAAACTATTATCTTATCCTTAAAAAAACACTATACCAGGTTTTCTACTTTTATAAGGATCCTGCTGCTTCTTTTGCTTACTACAATAAAATGAAACTCTGAAAATGTGGATTTAATGGCTTTCTGTACTCTCAGCTATTTTAGGGAAACATGCAAAACTTCTGGAGAGAAGTTTCATATTTGGGAAGAGTACAGAAAGCATGCCTAAGTCATTTTAGAATGACTTAATGTTAGTGTTAGAAACCTGTTAAGGCGCTGTAGGGAAAGCACTGGACCACAGGTCAGTTTGAACTGCAAGTTCAGAGGTTCAAATCCACCAGCCGCTCTTTGGTTAGAATTCACTTAATGGCACTTAACCCAATATTCGTGCACAAAGAAACCTCAGGGGCAGTCATGTTATCCAGAGGTTTACAAACTATATTGAAGGTGAGGTAGTAGCTCCCACCACATTCTCTGTGCCAGTTAGCCTTCCCTGCCCCCATTTCATGAAACCCTTCCAATATTGTCCTTATCATTTAAAATAAATTTCACTGGCAAGAAAAAGAAGTTTGAAAAAGTGGGGTTCATCTACTGAGCAAAGTTATGCTCTACATGACTTCACAGAGCTGAGCTAGTGATCAAACCCAGGCCTCATCATCCCAGTGTACTCCTACGTCCCTAATAAGACACATTAGCTTGACAAGAAATAAGTGTGCTATTTATAAAAAGAAAATTCTATTTCCTTCACAAAGAAATAGATTCTTCCTAAAAAAAACAAAGTTCTTTATCCCCAATATATTAACTTTTCATGGCATTTATAAGATCCACTCTGTACCAAGGGTATTTTAAAACAAAAGGGCACACAGTAGAATACATTTGCTACTGTAAGCAATTTGAACACAAACCATCTTTTCAAAATGGCTATACTTGCTGATATTTCACTGCAGTTTAAGAATCAACAATCTAGAAGAGTTGTTAAGTTCCATGGAGTCAGAGACCCTGTTTCCAAGGAGCGGCTGGTGAGTTTGCACCACCAACCTTGCAGTCCAGCACACAAGGTCACACCCGGACATCCCTAGATGAGCAGGACAAGGTAAAAGGCCGAATTACTTACAGGAGGCAGAGAAACCTGCCCTGTGATCTCAGGGGGACGCATGCTCACTGAGTCTTCTCCCGGCCCTTCAGGTTCCCCCGATGGGTATGGTGGGGGTGGGTATGGGGGGTACTCCTCCAGGTACACTTCAAGCAGCTGGGGCGTCTCTGGATTTGGTTCTTCCAAGTTATTTTGGAGATTCGGGCTGCTGTCTGGGGCTCCTTCAGACACATAGTCACATCGCGGAGAAGGAGGTGGCACATCATTTGTCTCTGTGCTGGCATTCCCTGCTTCCTCTGGGGATACTGCTTCAGGAACTAGAGGGACCACCTCCACCTCTGGTTCCACGTGTAAGTATGGATTTGGGATCTCGACTGGGCTTTCTGAGCTGGCAGTCCCCGAAGCTACCTTAGATGGGTATGATGGGACAGAGATGGTCTCCATGGCAGCTATGGTGGTCCTCTGGTACAAAAGTTTCTGAATGTTTGGCCCATTGGGACCCTCGGGCTCTGTAATAGAGCTACGTTTTTTTAGTGGCCTGGGTGCATTCGACAGTTTCTTCCGTAGGGCTTCTAGGTCAGCATCACTCTGGTTTCGGTAAGGATGGGATAGGAAGGGCAGTAACTTGGTTGGGCTGAGTGGACGTGGAATTCTCTCATTTTCATGGTTCTCCTGAACTGAAGAAACAGGCTCTGATTCAGGTTCAGGGCTGCCAGGCTTGCCCTGGTTATTGGAATAAATGTTCCCTGGGTACTGCTGTTGGTTTTGGGCAGCAGCAATCACTGGCTTGCCATATACTAATTGGAAAAGGAAAAACCCCTGATTAGTACTAATTAAGCAAAAGCTGGCAAGTAATAGGTTCAACTATCAATAACTAAAGCTTACTTAAACAGCTATTACATAATGTCCTTCAGTACAAGTAATGTCTTTAAAGAATCATTTGAAAATGACAAACCAAGGCTTCTATCACTGTACAACTTACTATAGAATCACAGCCCCTACTGACTGTAAGATGCATCACTACTTTATGCACCAATAAGACAGAAATACTGCCAAAAGTAATAGTCAGAAATCACTACAATCTGCATCCACATTTCAGATATCAAAATGTGAAGAAATGTACACACTAGAATCAATGAAAACCTAGTATCCTCTCATGTATTAAACACTAAAACTCAACATGCACGATATTCAAGTTTTTGCACATTTCAAGTCAATCAATATGATTGATCAGTTGGACTACGAAATAATGTAAGAACCACCGTATTTACCAACGCTTTTCCCCATAATAGAATTTTATATAAAAATCATCTCATTCCCAAATTACTATATTAGCAGTTTTAATCAAGAGATGGGGGTGGGGAGGCAAGGCAGAAATGAGGTCAGTCAAAAAGTATTGCTATTAGGGTTCTAGTTCATACATGCATGGGCTCTTTCCTAATTAAAGGTGTTCAAACATGCCAGTGAGGAACTGCAGACATGTTCTCTCAGTAATACACTTGTCTCAGCCCCGTTAGGGTGCCTTCAAAAACCAGCTCTAGTCAAATCAGTAACTTCTGAGGGGATTTGCTTGGCCAGTGTCAGTTCAGAAGGTTATGGACACTATTTTGGGGGATTCCAAAGCAGTAATCTTGATGGATTTTCTCAAAGGGCACAGGTCAACCACGGAACATATTAGGAAGAAGTTTTAAGAAAACGGAAACCTGCACTGGTTAAGAAAAAGGTCAGGAAACTGTGCCAAGGAAGTCTTTTCCACCACGGCAACACATCTGCTCATTCTTCAAGGGGACAAAGGACTGTCCTTTGCAATTTTTGTTGGGAAATCTTATTCCATCCACCCTCCCGCCCTGCCCCTGCAGACTTCTTTTTGTTCATCAAACTCATGTAACATTGAAAAGGGAACACAATTTGATTCCCTTGAGGATACCAAAACTTCCATTTTGAAGAAGTGTAAATCATCGTGTACAGAATCCTTCAGGGAAGGACTAGAGAGCTGGAACCCCACATTAAGTAGGATGCAGACTAGATGGAGGATATGCCAAGAAATAACAGCTGCAAAAGGTTTCTTGAATTTTTAGCAATCCATTTTTGACATACCCTCACATACTGAGTTTTTACTATCAAATTTCCAACACTTTAGGTCACAATTACATGCATATCTCATGACCAGAAAGATAATACAGTGGTTTTTATTCTTACTGATAATAACTTCTTCTTGTTGTTGTTAAGTGCCATTGAGTCGGTCCTGACCCACAGCGCCTACCCTATAAATTACCAGATTGTATACACTTGGAACAATTTAATCCAAGATGGACCAACACAGTGTCTACAACGATGGGCCAAAACGTAACAACAGGCCCCAGGGCATTTGGTTCTGTAGTGCACAGGGTTACTACGAATCAAAGTTGACTTGATGGCACCTAACAATAATGACAATCATTTTGTGATTTTATATTTAGTTAGTAGCTCTGGTAGTGTAGTTACGAGTCGGGCTGCTAATCTCAAGATCAGTAGTTCGAAAATACCAACTGTTCCACAGAAGAAAGATGAGGCTTCTGTTCCCATAAAGATTTACAGCCTCGGAAAACCTATGCAGGGTCACTATGAGCTGGAGGCGCCTCCACGGCACACCATCACCATGCTCTCAACAAAACAACTTAAGATACAATACAGTGTTGCTATTTTGATCTATATACAAGGGCAGTCATCTAATGCTCTAAACTCCAAAAACACCTGGACACACCTATAGTGCAGACCTGGCCTTCTGTAGCATAGACATGGCCCCTGGGCATCTATCTTGCACTTACCAGTGAGCTCCTCAAGAAGTGGACCACACTTCACTCATTTGTTGCCTTCAATGTCTACTCCAGCAGCTGACATTTTCAACTCTCAGTAACAGAAGCCACAATTCAATAAAACTCGTAAAATAAAAGCATGAGTTGAAACAGATAGGGTCATTTTGCTGTTTGCTGAGAAAACTACAATGTACACACCATCTGCACATGAAAATAAGGTCCAGAAGCTTACCGCTCGAAAAGTGTGGCCCTCTGGAGTATGTCTTGGTCAGCGCACTCTGCACTGCCTGCTGGAAGTTTTTCCCAGGAGCCTGATGCTGGGTGTACATGGAATATATTGAGCTGGCTGCCACGGTCTGCGGTTTTCTGAAGGGTGGGAGGAGGGTATCCTTGGAAGGCTGAGGCGTAAAGGGCCGGACCGCAGCAGCAGGTGGACTTTCTTGTTTAGAACCTGGAGAAAGGGTTTGGTCTTGACCAACGGAAGGCACAGTGGGAGACAGCAGGACCCTCTGCTGCTGCAGTCCTGCCGTCTTCAGTTTATTTCCCGCAGATGAAACAGCTGTGGAGAACTGCTGTGGACTGCCATCTGCCTTAACGTCTGATGGAGACTGATTACTTTGTCCAAGATACGGCAAATTAATCTGTTTAGGCTTTGTAGGAACAGGAGGTGGTACTTTAGCACCATTTTTATTTGTAGCCTGTAACACACAATTAAAAGCAAGTTAAAATCACTAAATATCAGGACGTTTTAGATGGTCTACTTTCATAAATGAAAGTATACTCTAACTCTGCATAAATATTACCTCTAAACTTTTAATCATTAAAAAGTTTTACATCTCTGGACTTCATCGCATTTAAAAATGGACTTCAGGAACAAATGCAATACAACTCCTCCCTAAAAGACTTCACTCTTTGCCTCCACTTCTATGTGTCCACTTGAAAACTTTAAATCCCTATCTTTCAGTTACAGAAGGACCGATAAATGAAAAGCCATTCTTGTTCACTGAAACTTCACTGTGGCTTCAATTAAAACACACGCATGTAACTCAAAGTATCCATCTATAACTTGGTTGTCAGAGATTAGTATCAACGATCAACACTATGGAAGCAGCAGTCAAAACATTATATTAAGCACATCTGCTGTACAAGACTTCTTTAAAGTGTTCAAGAGCAAAGATGGCAGTTTAAGGACTGAGGTGTGATTGACCGAAACCACTGTATTTTCAGTAACCTCATATGCATGTGAAAGTCAGACAATGAATAAAGAAGACCATAGAAGAATTGATACATTTGATTTACGGTGTTGGAGCAGAATATTGAAAGTATCATGGACCACCAAAAGAATAAACAAATCTGGGTTGGCCAAAGTACAACCAAAATACTCTAGAAGCCAGTATGCAGAGACTTTGTCTCTGAAACTTCGAACATATCATCGGGGGGACAAGTCCTTGGAAAATGACATCATATGTGGTAAAGTGGAGGGTTATTTAGTGAAAAAGATGATGACCCTTAAGGAGATGGCGTGATACAGTGGCAGCACAATGCGCTCAAGTGTAAAAACAATTGTGAGGATGGCACAGGGCTGGGCAGTGTTTCATTCTGTTGTGCATAAGGTTGCTATGAGTCAGTACTGATCCAACAGCACACCTAAAAACTACAAGTTATACAACACTCATCATCCAATCACTGGTATAATCTCAACTCCAAATTCTGAAAAAATAAAATACTTAACAGCAGAAAGACAATGTTCTTCAATGCACTTACATTTTTTAAGCAATCACATGAAATATGACCCAGAAGCAAGTATAACAACAATTTGGATGTGAGAGCAGAAATACACTCAAGCAACAGAAATTAAAACAGAATGCTGCTGTTGCATTTTCTTACTTACTCTGTTTCTACTACTCTCCTGCAGCACATGGTTCTTTATCCCATTTAAAAACCTCACAAAGAATTACGACTAAATTTTTTAATCAGATATCTTAAATACCTGAGCATCCCGCAAGATATCTTCACTGCTCTGGTTTTTCCTCAGAGTACAAAAGGAAGGTGGGGCAGCAGACTGGTCTACTGTGTCAAACATTGAGAAGGGCCGCACTTTCTTCTCCTTCTCCCTCAGCAGAACCTCCCCATCATCAGCTGAAAACAAACAAATCATAGTAACATTCAAACAGCATGATCAAATTCCTTATCCACTCACACGTCTGTGTCTTCTGAATTTCTTGGAAACCCTGTATGTTTCGAACATAAAAATTTAGTGTGTTTCAAAATACAAATTCAATATGGTTCTTCTGATAAAATTAAGTTGATAAAAGTATAATCCAAATGCTACAATGATAGCACCCTTAGTTCTCAGCTAAATGACGGCATACTGGAAATAAACTAAATACTAACTTTAAAACACCGGAAAATAAACTACCTAAAAACGAATACATATTTACCTCTTAGCCAAACAACAGACAGGCATATAAAATTAACAATAACACCTGTGTAGAATGTGCTCCTTACATGAGACCAAAAGGACAACAAAAGATTGGGGACAGGGACACAGAGGACAGGGACACAGGGGCTAGGGACACGGGACAGGGACACAGGGGAAAACGGAGAACCCAGGGAGGAAATGGGGCAAGTGCTGACACATGGCTATCAATATCATGGAACAATCTGTGTACCAATTATTGAATAGAAAACTAATATGCTATGTAAGCTTTCATATAAGAACAATAAAATGTTCAGGAAAAAAAAGAACGCACAGTACTTCATAGCTGACCAACATATAACGTTCAGGAGCTGCACAGATAAACTTTACCTTGTTCTGGAGTGTTCCCAGGGCTCTTTGGTACAGAAGCAGAGCTCTGGCTTGGGAAAAGCTCTGCATTTGAATGACTCCAATCAAGGCTAACTGGATGAAGTTTAGAGCCTACAACACAGGGAAGCAGCTATAAATAATCCAGTATCCCAAGTGCTTTTTAATCATCCATTTTACTGCTAAGAATTTTAATCTCTAAAAACAGCTTTCAATTTCAAACTCACAACCACATTCTAGGAAATTTATTTAGAAAATACCCTATCAGATTTCTGTTTCCAAGTTAAAAATGATTACTTACTCAAACAATTCAAAATTTCTCATAACAAATACGAAGTGTGCTCTACCCATGCATCCATGCATTACTCTTGGGAGTGTATGAAAGCCTTACCAGGGCACAGCTGAGCACACGGCAGGGCCTCACAACATCTGGCTCAGACACGCATGCACCACCACAAGGCAGGAGGGGCATTGCTTTGTAACCCCTAACTCCCACAAATTAGTGTCATTAGGGTTCTTTCTACAGTAACATTTTCATGTCAAAGCTATGGCTTTTATTTTTCTTTATAAATACAAGCAACCATAACTCACTCAACAGAATATTACTTCTTCATAGTAGCAATCATGGGGAAAGAATGATGTTTAAATTAGCTGTCACCTGCATGTGATTGTGGTTCAGGAAAACAGACTATTACTTTTTCTTTCTAGGGATCCGAATGGTAAGATCTTTAAAGGATGTGGTTAACCTGCTTTCCCCCAAAACTCGCCCTTTTTCTCTTCCGTTTACAAAACTCTGACTTGCAACTCTCCATATACCTCAGGCCTACACGGAATTTAAAGATTACTAAATATATCTCCCAATATTTTTGCCTTTACACTTGATTCATCAGTCAGCAAATTCTCCCACAAAAGCACAGAGTATGTAACACTATTAATCCACAGAATAGATTCGCGACCTCACATTCTGTAACCTATGACACCCTAACACTTGTATAGGTGGTGGTGTTTACCCAAAAAGAACAGTTCTGAAGTTAATACCAGGTTAAAATTTCCTTGTCTAAAATAAGAAAGAACTTTTCAAAAACAATTTTCAAGATTTGCATAACTATTACATTTTACTTTTCCAAGGTTAAAAACTATCTTGTACTAATAAAAGGTACTCTTAGAATAAAGGATATGATGACAATGTTTTTTATAAACCAAATCTGGGAAAAAGAATCACAGAGGTGGGGTGGAACAGAACTATGGAGGGACTTGAAAATTACTTGTGCTTACCTTTAGCTTGTGACGCGGCTCTCATATTGGGCAGTGTCTGTATTTTCATCGGCCCCTCTGAAGTTTGCATGGCCACGCCCCCATCAGGCAGGGCTGGTTTCACCAGGAGTTCAGGCCTTGAGGGAATCCGTGGCATAGTAGATGACTGGATATAAGGACCTACTGCAGCCACTCGACTCTGCGCTGACGTTGCTTGCTGGGGAAGACTCCCATCAGATGAAACCTTAGGGGAAAAGAGCATAGGTCCTTTAGTGCCACAACTCAGAAAAACTCATGGATGTTAATTAAGTGCAGATAACTTTTCAGGATCTAGTCCAAGTTTATTGGAAATGTCCCAAAACAGAAACATTTACAATGAACCCATGCTGTTACTGGTATTTAAATGAAAGTGGAGCTTCGCAGGTAATAACACTGAAAAGTAAAAGAATGCTGGGTTATTTGCTTTGCTGAGAGCACACTTAGCAATGACTGTGAAAAGGCTTCTGATGAATCACTGATCTCGCTGGGCTGGTCAGCCTTTTACTCCTCCCCCAGCGCAGACAAACAGCCTACTTACTGGAAGATTCTCTTTTTGCTGGAGAGCCGCCTTCTTCTTCCACAGCCGGTCCCTGAGCTCATTGACTCGCTTATCCATGACGGCCACTTCTGAATTACGCTTATTCAAGCACTCCCTCTGGTGCTGAAGCTTGGCGTTCTGCTCTTGATTCAATTTGTTTCTTAACTGAAAACAGAAAAAGAAAATGAAAAAGGGTAGCCAAGAAGCAGGAAGAAAAACCTTCTCAAACAGATTAGCATGTGAATAACTATAATACAGTTTCCAAAAACTTAAGGTTCCTTCACAATTGTCATCTTAGTTTAAAAATGAGCCGCACCTGTGTTAGACCAACAGCTAAAGTTGTCAGGAATGACTCAAATGTCTGGTATGAGGTCCTATAAAGTTTATTGTGGATTTTTTGGGATTTAGGACCCCAAACCTAGACAAAAACAAAAAGTAACCAAAAATCCAGCCCTTTCTGCCATTTGAACAAACACTCTGTATCCCTGCATTACTCCCTATATGGTGCAGTTAACACACTCAGCTGCTAACTGAAAGTCCACCCAGAGGCACCTCCAAAGAAAGGGATGTACTTCACAAAAATCAGCAACTGAACAAACTATGGACTATGGTGAGTACCAAGTGAAGCTAACAAGCTAAGATGCTTGGAGGTCTTTTGAATCTTGGTTTTCCTTGCATTATATTATAAAATAGACACTAGAGGGGAGAGAAAGGAATAGCCAGAAATATCACCATAGAAAGCTTGTAAGTCCGTCTTCTGCCTATAACTGATTGGAACACCTAAAATGGGGCTATAACATGCCCAGTGAAGGAGGCTTCCTGCGGAGCCTCTGCAATACATAAGACTATTGGTGGAAGCTTGAAACACATCCAGGTCTTCAGAGATGGGAAATTTCCACTTGAAAGGACGAGCAGACCAGCCTGGAGCAGCTAGAAGAACAGAAGATACTTCTTGAAAGAAAGACTTACAGGAAAAATACAAAACAACATAGGCAGACCGACTGTTTCTACAAGAACAAGCCAGTTGCTTGCCCAGGAGACATCAAGGCAAGTGGTCAGGTTCCTTCAGTGCAAACCCCCTTCCAAGACTAAGATTCAATGGGACTACATGCTCTGATTGGTGACCATGTTTGTCACCGATAAGGGGAAGTGAGGGAAAAACAGCAATGAAGCTGCAAGCTAAGCCCTACAATGCTCAATAGACTCCTGTGAACACGGGTAAAGACCTGGTTGGCCAGCAGTGTGGCAAGACCTGGGACTATTGGGCCCAGAGTCAGTGACATACCCACAGAGGACCAGAGTAGAGTGAAGCATCCAGCTGATAAGAAGAGAGGGCATAAGCACAAGAACACCCACACTTGCAGATAATACCCACTTGACCTGGCTTCAATGACTTTATGATCAGAGCTCAACTAGAAGAAGAAAGAAAAGGAAAAAAAAGAGTAATCTGACACAATTTGATGAACTTGACCTACACCTAGGGATACAGTAGCTCAAAAGAGGGAACAAATCCTTACAGCAAGGATCATTCCCAACCCCCTCCATACATACACAGAGTAGACAGGGATGGGCAACTTGGACATTGGCTATTCAAAATGGGGAGGGGAGGGGCCTACAAAAGCAAGAAGTGACTGGCTTACAAGCTTTCACGAGGGAACCCAGATCCAGAGGGTATGAAGGAAGGTAGAATCTCCACTGAGTAGTATCCAATTTGTCTAGGCAGGGCTGATGAAATGAAATGCGGACAGGTCTCTTGTGATACAATAGTGAATAATTGTTATCAGGACTGCTTGTGAGGGTTGGAAATGTAACGGTAGACGTTTTGTAGCAAGGAGAGGAGTGATTAACTTTTCAGTCTAGGAGCGGAGGTCCCTGGGACCATCAACGGAGAAGAGCAGAGAGCGGGACCCTATCCAGAGAAGCAGTGATGCCTGCCTGACATGGAGGCAGAGACAATGACGTGGAGAGATGGAGCAGTTGGGGACTTTAAACACAGAGAGGGAGAGGGGCTGTGTGCTGACGACCGGGGGGCATGCTTGTAGTTATACCCTTAGGTTGGTTGATGACGCATGGAGGGGATTGTAACCATGGCACTGAAACGATATACAATCAGATGAATGCAAAACTAATGTTCTCCCATGTAAACTATCACATAATTCTCAATAAAA